TAGGTACCCATTATGCAAGTAAAATCTCGGACTACACCTGCCTCCGTCTCCAGATCCTTTTGATCTCATCGTCTTTTTAGACTTTACTCCATTCATCACCAGTAAGCTCCGAGCGACCCAGAAATTAAATATTCGGGGATATGGATCATGGTCCAGACATTTGATGAACGAGGGAAGCGAGATTCCCGAATTGGTGTATCCCAAAGTTTATACTTGGCGAACCGGGTATAAGGAGATTGGAATGGGGGCAACTTTGCGGGAAAATGGATCTAGTAATGCGGAGCCGCCCTGATAAAAGTTAAACAAATAAGCGTGAAAGACTGGCAAGTAGGAGGCAAGTGTCATAAGTACCCCTTCCACGGAAGTCCCGCTTCCCCCCGCGGACTATCCTGCTTGGACGCAGTTCAAATCTTATAAATAGAGGTCACTGCCTCGATCAAATCTCTGCCATTGACCTTTATCAACAGCTCATCCACTCCCAGACGACCATACAACCACTTTTTGCTCTCCAATCTCTAGCCTTGCTCAAAATGGCCCTGTTTCAAACAATCAAGACGCCAGTTCTAACGTATGAACAGCCTTTGGGCCTGTATGTATCATCAACCATCTTCATACGGTTATGCACTAATCTAAAATATTATATAATTCAGGTTCATCAACGGCGAATTCGTCAAAGGAGCCGAAGGAAAAACATTTGAGACAATCAATCCTCATAATGAAAAGCCTATTGTTGCAGTGCACGAAGGTACTGAGGTGGACGTCGACAGAGCCGTGAAATTCGCTCGCGCAGCTTTAGATGGCGAGTGGAAGCATGTGACCCCATCTGAACGTGGTCGCCTTCTCAGTCGCCTCGCAGACTTTCTCGAACGCGATATTGAAACAGTAGCTGCGATCGAAGCTCTTGATAATGGGAAAGGAGTTACCATGGCAAAAGGAGATGTGAAAGCATCGGCGGGATGTATTCGCTATTATGGGGGCTGGGCCGACAAAATCTATGGTCAAACTATCGATACTGATACCGATAGTTTGACTTATACCCGCCATGAACCGGTGGGTGTTTGTGGTCAGATTATTCCATGGAACTTTCCACTGTTGATGTTTGCATGGAAAATTGGCCCTGCCCTTGCCACCGGAAATACTGTCGTTTTGAAGACTGCGGAGCAAACACCCCTATCGGCACTTTACGTGGCTTCTCTGATTAAGGAAGCTGGCTTTCCTGCTGGGGTTGTGAACGTTATTTCAGGGTATGGGAGGACAGCGGGAGCAGCGATCGCTGCTCATATGGGAATCGACAAAGTTGCTTTTACCGGGTCAACTTTGGTCGGTCGTCAAATCCTGCGAGAGGCTGCGAATAGCAATTTGAAGAAGGTGACCCTGGAGCTAGGGGGTAAATCTCCAAATATCATTCTGCCGGATGCCAACCTTGAAGAGGCTATTGGTTGGGTGAATTTAGGGATATTTTTCAATCATGGACAGTGCTGTTGTGCAGGTTCACGAATTCTTGTTCACGAATCTATCTACGATCAGTTTCTGGAGCTTTTCAAGAAACGAGCCGAGCAAAATAAAGTTGGTGATCCATTTCACCCCGAGACCTTCCAAGGCCCTCAGGTATCCCAAATACAATACGACAGGATCATGGGCTATATTGAAGATGGAAAGCGCTCGGGGGCAACGGTCATCACAGGAGGTGAACGGCATGGAAATGAGGGATACTACATCCAGCCTACGATTTTCGCTGATGTCGATGAAAACATGACGATTGTCAAAGAAGAGATATTTGGACCTGTTTGCACTGTACAGAAGGTCCGGGATGAAGAGGAAGCCATTCGGGTGGCCAATGAAACAAACTACGGTAAGAAATCCGACGAATTAACTACGATGAAACCCGTCTAACCCAGTATGCTGGCTCAGGTCTTGCGGCAGCTGTTCACACCACAAATATAAACACCGCAATTCGAGTCTCGAATGCTATTAAAGCAGGGTATGTTTTGATTCTGACAAATTCAACCAAAGATAACTAATCCAGATTGGCAGGACTGTTTGGGTGAATAACTATAACACTCTTCACTATCAAATGCCATTTGGTGGCTTTAAAGAATCCGGAATTGGTCGAGAGCTAGGGTCATATGCTCTCGAAAATTACACAGAAGTGAAGACAGTTCGTGTACATCTTTCTAAATAGGTGTATGGGGTAGATATTCCAGTTTGTGTTTTTAACTGCCAGTGAAATTTAACATCGCTTTCTGTACAACCGACTAGAGAAATGTGATATATATGTAGGATGGAAGGCTAGCTGAGTATTATGGCCTCCAAGGCTTCAAGTTACTAGTAATTATCACTTTTTAGATCATACATCCGTAAGAAATTTGAAAGCAATTGACAGTATAATGTACTATCTCAATCCAAAAAACTCTAAACCCGCCAGCCAACGGTCCGATTGGACCAGAAAATTTGCGAATCAACATCCATCTTGACGCTCCTCAGTCGCTGTAGGCTACGAGTACCATAGCTCTCGATCAGAGGCTAATCAGCCATGGCTTCATTCATTAGAAGAGGGAAGGTGTATGGATCTCGTGACATTTTCCGGCCAAATGTGTGTTGTTGGAATTCTCCCGGCGTTTGGTGCAAAACAGTGCGGTTTTCATACTCTCGCACATATGTATCTATCGATTCATAAAGTTCCCTGGAGAACTCTTTGACCAATATGTCATCAAAGGGCAAGCACCAGTGAAAGACAGAGCTAAGGCAAAAAGCAAGGTCAAAAGAGCGAACCTGAAGGGATAAAAGTAGAGTGCACATACGCAAACCAGACGTAGTCCCCCACATCAGGATCCATATCTAACGCATTAAGGCCCACGGACGACTGACTGCTCGGCAACCTGTCGCGTAATAGCTTGAAATGCAGAAGTGAGGCTAAGACCTAGAATTGAAGGGGCCCGTTTTGTAAATTGCTGAAATATGAGCAAGCATTGAAGAAGAAGCTCTTTGCCACCATCTCCTGGTAGTATTGGAACAGAGGAATGCTGAGCGGGTAAATTTATGCCAGGTTATCCCTTGGAACATTTGAAGAGACTTACTCGAATTGCGATACGACCACCGCGGGTATTGCCGATTCGATCATTAGTCCTGAGCTGTAGTTTCATTCGTGAGTCATTGCGACATTTATATATTTTTCGGCAAATATCGGACAAAACAATGATTTGTATGACCTTGTCTTAGTGTTTTCAAATATGGTTGATAGGTTTCCGAGTGCTCGAAAGACATTTGAGGGTGGTTTCGGCTGGTCATAGAAGAAGACTATTATGTCCCTCGATATCAATATATGATTAATCTACAGCTCGATTTTTGAATAATCACCCGCAGAGAATTTCAACAGTCCTTGGAACATGTTGTCGTATGTCAGAATAATTGAGGCGCCAGGGTCTGCCTGTTCTTCAAGAAACTTATGATATGCTTCACTCAGTGCAACAGCGTCAGAGTGGTGGTAGATACGATATCCACCCCAGACCAGAGCATATCAGCTTTAACATCCCATCGTAATGAAAGTGATTTCATAAAGATATACCTTTCCTAGGGGATATCTTCTAAGTTTGAACTTAGTGACGATCCCTTTGGTGGAAGGGCACATCAGCACTACTATTTTTGTAGCCGAATGGTGAAAGGACACTCACCGAATTTTCCACCTCCACCTTTCACTGAGATAAAAAGATCCTGATGCTCCGACGAACTGTCACTGGTAATAGTGCCATTGGGAAGGACAATTTGGAACCTCAAGACGTTATCACATATGAGACTATGAGATAGTTGAATAATTTACTGTCCTCGAATTAAGGGTTCCAGAGTACTGACCCGTATTTAACACTCAAAAAGCTAAACCCACCACCTAAGACAGAGCCACCAACCCCAACATCGCCTGCAAGTCCAACATCGCCTGCAAGTTGGCAATTAGCTCACAGGTCACGAATTTCAAAGAAAAGTTAATACTCGTTCTGCCTCCAACCACCGTGAGGTTTAATGGGTCTAAAGCCTCTTGAACCTGTCCCCATCGCGCTCCCGGTCCGATATCGACAGCACTTAGATCAGTGGATATGTCGATATATCTCATACGAGACAGAGAAATCAGTATCCCATCCTTTACGCTGTTAAAACCGACGTTATGGTTATAGCCTCCACTTTTGACCGCAAATGGAACATCTACATCACTCTGAGCGAGCCTTTGAAAGATTTTTTCAACATCAACTGCATCTTCTGGGTATAATATACAGCGAGGAAGAAGATCTCCACATGCCTGTGAATAGTATGCATTGATCTCCCTTTGGTACTTCAGGATGTTGCTTGGCCAGACAATCTGACCGGGCTGTAACTCCGATTGGAGTTCTTGACATGCGATTGTACTGTTACTCGTTGGGAGGCCGTTATAGTTTATTGCCGTCTTCAGTGTACTGGCGGCGAGGATCAAGGCCCTAGGGATCGTCCAAACATAGGGAATTGACATTGCAAGTTGGACGAGAGGACAATGTAGGAAATCTGAAGGTCAAGAGAAACCCCATTTGTTTGCTAGTCTTCTTGTAGCCAGAATGATGATACATACTAGGTATGATAATTTTAATATACACTACGTTTGCGACAGCTGTGGGCCACATCGAGATGGTCGCAATATAACCCCACTCGGTTGCATATGCGGGCGACTGGGCGATCTCGGTGGCTGGAATGAAATGTGATTAATCAACATGGAAGGGATTGCCAAGTCATCTGAATGCAAGATTTTCGAGTCGCAAACTTGGTGGCTTGGGAACCGGCGAGCCCCTGTTGCTCTGCATACTAGGGAACTTGGAACTCTGCACTGGGATCAGAAATTTCGACTATTTATTTTGTCGATGGGTTGATCAGGCCCAGGATGAATAATTCTCCCGACTTACTTCACTTTACTTTACTTAACGAGAAATCATCTCCAAATTAGCCAGAAGAAGTCTCCATCCCGATCTCAGATTACTTTCAGCATGACTATGGACATCCATCGGGCAAAAGTCGATCGCGTAGCCACTCGAGTACGCGAATTTTACGAACGCAAACAGTCGTACCGTATATACCATGGTTCCACAAACTGCACGCGCGAATCTACCAAAACGGCGGATAATACGGTAAACATCAGCTTTTTGAACGAGGTTCTAGCCATTGATCCTGTAAAGCAAACAATGCTAGTCGAGCCAAATGTGGCGATGGACCAGCTTGTTGCTGCGACATTGCCATCTGGCTTGATCCCTCCTGTGGTCATGGAGTTTCCTGGAATCACGGCTCGTGGGGGATTCACCGGGACCTCTGGGGAAAGCAGCTCTTTCCGCCACGGATTTTTCGATCGCACCGTGTCTCGCGTGGAGATGGTACTTGGAAATGGCGAAGTCATTGAATGCTCTCCAACCGAACATGCAGACCTGTTCTACGGCGCTGCTGCATCTTTCGGCTGCCTCGCAATCACCACCCTCTTAGAGATCCGTCTGATACCTGCAAAGGCGTATGTGCAAATGACTTATTTGCCCACTACGAAGGGTGTATCGGGCGCAATCACAATTATGGAGGAATGCATCAATGATCCAACATGCGACTATCTTGATGGTATACTTTATGATAAAAATCATGCAGTTGTCTGCAGTGGCAGGCTGACCGACTCACCTGGGCCGGAGAATGCAGTACAGACCTTTACGCGTCCCAAGGACCCGTGGTTCTACATGCACGTTCAAGAACAAGCCGAGGCCAAACAAAAAGAGGCCATCGAGTATATCCCCCTGGTTGATTATCTCTTTCGCTATGATCGTGGTGGGTTCTGGGTCGGAAAGTACGCTTTCGAATATTTCGGTATTCCTCAAAATAGCTTCACGCGCTGGTTGCTCGATGGCATCTCTCACACTCGCGTCATGTATCATGCCGTACATAAAAGCGGACTGTTCAAAGAGTACACCATCCAAGACATTGCCGTGCCGTACTCGGCTGCCAGTGACCTAGTCGACTACCTGGATGACTCGTTCCGACGATATCCTGTCTGGATGTGCCCATTACGTCAAACGACAAAAGATGCCAATGGGCAAATAATCCATGGTCTCTTAGCGGACCAATTGTCCAGTGATGACACCAGAGATCAGCCTGAAATGATGCTCTCTCTCGGCGTATGGGGGCCTGGCCCTGGCAGTGGTGAGGAGTTTGAGCAATTCAACCGGGAACTGGAACACCGGGTTGGGATCATGGGTGGTCAGAAGTGGTTGTATGGCCGAACTTACTACTCAGCAGCTGAGTTTGTCTCGAATTATTCTGTTTCTAATTTAGAGGCTCTCCGGGATCGGTATCACGCAACCCATTTACCAACGCTGTACGATCGGGTCAAAGTGCGCCCTGCGGCCTTCAATGATAGGGAAAAAGGACTTCTAATCTTCGACAAATGGCCGTTTCCTGCAGCCTATGGCCTCCTCCATACATTCCTATCGAGGGAGTATCTTTTGGCTCCTTCAAAAAGCTCTACTGTCTCTAACCCGAAGATTATGCTCTTCATATTGATGCTATCTACTGCCGCGTGGTTTGGGCTGTAATTTACATGCATGGGACTATTTTGAAAAATACGAAGAATCGAACCATTCAATTCACGAAAGAGACAGGAGTCGATAGAATATTATTTTCCCCCCAAGCAATATTGGGGCTCCTCTAAATCGTTTGCAATCTATTACAATCAGCGAGGCTAGACCAAAATGTCCTACAATTTCCCCGTCGAGCAATGGGTAGGTTTCATATTTGTATGGTATATTATGCGGATCCGCCCGATACATAGAAAACCAGAGAGGATTCGAATATGACTCAAGAGTATGTACTCTTACATGGATCCGTACATACTGTACTTCGTAAGGAAGAAATCTAATCCTGTATTCTATTATGGCTTTCTTTGGCTAGCGGGGCGGAGCTTGCATAAGTCGGTCAGATAGCGAAGACTTGAAATTTAGCAGAATTTGACGGTCATTTCCTTTTTGAAATCCAATATTTGATGCAAGAGACAAGATAATATTTATGATTGCTCTACTCCGTACCAAAATCCCCAGCTGAGCTGCAGTCTCCAAGCCACCACCAACCAGAGGGGCCATCTCTGCGCTGCATCCCCACCCAATCCATGGCAAACAAGTTCAGGGGAGATAAACATGTATCACCCTGACACTGCCTTATTTATCCCACGCGACGCGAATGAGGAACTTTCCTGACTAATGAAAATTTGCAAGAAATTTTCCTCTCCTCTTTCACTAACTCGGCGCATCGGTTGATCAAACAATCCGCAGCCATACGAGACCATGCTCCGTAACCAAACCCCGCTTGTCGCTGACGCGATTAATGAGATACACGCTAGGGGAAAAGGAAAAGGGAACGAAAGAGCCGAAAAAGTCATCTAATGTGTTGTGGGGTCGTCGAAAGCAGGTGTCAACAGTCTCTGGCCTTGTCAGTCTACTTTTCGTGCTCTTCGGTCAGCTCTACGTCCTGTTTGCTCAAATCTGTATGAGTCACTTCGGTGGCTCACTGCAAGATGGATCACGCAAACTTGTTGAAGTCTGGCCTATGGCCTTTTACAATGACTACCTCCCCGGCATCACATTAGGTCCTGTGCTCGGCTATGCGGGTTGGATTGCTTTCCAGGGATTGCTTTACTGGGTTCTTCCTGGGAGAATCGCCTATTCTCCTCCCACTCCTGGAGGAAATATTTTGCCTTATCGCATGAACGGCCTATTGTCTTTTTCTCTGACTATCGCCGTCGTCGCAGTGGCAGCTGCATGCAATGGTGCTAAGTTGATAGCTGGGCTAGCGGAGAACTGGACATCATTTCTCGTGGTCGCGAATGTCTATGGACTGTTAGTGGCCTTGCTGGCACAGATCAAGGGATATACGATGCCCACTTGTGAAAAGGATCGAAGAATGAGTGGTCAGTTTGCTAAAATGATATATCTAATCTGAGCGAATATTCTAACCGAACGATAGGATCTTTAATTCACGATTTTATGGCGGGTGTCGAATTGAACCCTCGGTTGGGCTCGTCTTGGGATTTGAAATTGTTCCATATCGGGCGACTAGCAATGAATGCCTGGATTGTCATGTAGGAAAAGCACTGCATTATTTTTGCTTCCCCAGGGCTAATCTTTGACATTTCCTCAGTGATATCTCATTTATGGCCCAGCAATATCGTCAGTTTGGAAGCGTTTCCAATTCAATCATCATTGTCACTATTCTTCATTCGATATACGTCGTTGATTTCTTCTACAATGAGGAATGGTAAGTTTTAGTTTTCCGATTGCGTTTGAGGCAAATCCTTATCATCGACACAGGTATTTGGCAACTATAGACATGGCACACGATCACTTTGGCTTTTACTTAGGATGGGGCTCAGCAGTCTGGCTACCAGTGATCTACACATCGCAGGCTCAATATCTTAGCTCACATTTTGTGCATCTCAGTCCGTTCGCTTGCGGGGCGATTCTAACAACAGGAATATTAGGTTATATCCTCTTTCGACTAGCGAATTTCCAGAAGGACATTCTGCGGCGGACGCAGGGGAAGTGCCAGATATTTGGAAGCAAACCTCGAGTTGTCCAGGCTCAGTATACCACGGCAGATGGAAAAGTTCATCAATCACTCTTACTACGCTCTGGTATGTCTTATAGTTATCGAAAGTGTGCTTATGGTAAAACTGACTGTTGACGTTGATACAGGGTGCTGGGGCTTCGTCCGTCATCCAAATTACGTCGGTGACATCGTGTTTTCTTTCGCCACCTGTGTCTGCTGTGCCTGGGCACATGTACTTCCCTACTCGTATTTCATATGGATGACATTGCTGTTGATTCACAGGTGTTATCGCGATGAGAAGCGGTGTTCCACTAAATACGGGCAGTGGTGGGACCATTACCGGAAGAGTGTACCGTGGACAATGGTTCCTGGAATCTTTTGAGATCAATTCTTATGGCGGGTATGGTGCTCCATATAGTCAATTCACCCGTTGTTTCTGCTGTCTTGTTTCAATATTGCAGTTCAAAAGCCGTATAGTCTATCGTCTTCCCGCTGAGTCTATCGGTATGGCGCTCCATAAGCGCGGAGTGGTCAGTAGTTGTATACATAGGTATTTTTTCAAAGTTTCCAAGCCCTTGTTGACCGGCCTGGTCTCCGCCTACTATGGCAGTCAAAAAGAGTGGGCAACAGGGGAGCGCCGTATATCGGTGCCTCAGGCAACCAGATCACCTCTAGGCATTCAACCACCTTCCTCTCTCCTCTCCCATCACCAAATTTCTGAGCATCCGGATCCTTCGTAGCCTTTGAATCTTCTTTCAGTTTAAGGAAGCAGCTGATCTTTCATCATGGGAACTCGAGGCCTGGAGATAGTGCGCTTCCACGGGCGTTACTACATTCGCTGGCATCAGTTCGACAGCTACCTTGAGGGTCTTGGGGCCAATATTATCGCGAGAATCCCCACAGACCCCGAAGAATACCAAAGTATGTCGTAAGAGATGATCCGTGTCTTGCGTGCGTACACTAATGATTTGCAGAATGGCTCGATTCGATGCGCGCCATCTATGCAGACAGGGAAAGTGCCCTTGAAACTAATGTCAACGAGATCCACGATGGCATTAAACCAGACTCTTCGCTTCTAAGCGAGTTCGTGGATGTCCCTTCCGAGATGCCCACCCTTGATCATTGGGTTGAGTTCATTTACATCATCAACCTCGACCAGGAAGTCCTCACAATCAACGACAGCGTACACTGGAAGTTGGGGAATATCCCGCGCCGGGATGACCTCTGGCGTCACGCCATTGTGAAAAGCATACATTCGAACGAGTTGACCATATCCCTCGACATGTGCCCGGAAGAGCATATCGCCTCGCCAGCTTTGGGAATTCCTGAGCGGAACAAGGAAACCCACTACGGCTTTCACCTCGTAATCCCGACGATGGACCTTGCGGACATGGGGAAAGCAATTCTGACACACCTGTTAACTAACACGATCGTTCGATACAAGCGGACGATCCTCAGATTTGGGATGGAGTGGAGCCCGGACTCGTTTCCCTTTCGCGAGTTGGTGTTTGCTCTCGTCTCAATTGCGTCTGGTCAGGCCAAACTCCATACGTTTCCTGCTGAGGAGTGTAATCCTCGAAATTGTGCACACCCCACATCAGTCCTCTGCCCTTCGAAGCACTTACATGAGTGGAATGGATGGCTTTCCCAAGAGTTGGCTGGCGATAACGGCCCGTTGCTTGAATTTGGCTTCCCGTTTCATCGACCGGGCGAGCCTCCAGGTGTGTCGCCAACGGGGACTATGTACTGGTTCGAGGACGTGCTTGTCAGCCTCTCACTGGTAGTTGATGATGAGGCCATCATGAAGGCCGTTACTTGGGGCATCGAACAGGGACGCGCCAACTTCCAGATTGTCATCCTATCGCTCTTTGAAGTGGCCTTTGCGGAGGTCTACTCAGGCACTGACGTGCAAACCTTTGTTAAAGCCAGTGATGCAATCAATCTTTCGCCTCTTCGTGCAGACTATTCTCTGTGCACACACCCGCGCATGCGGCCAGAGCGGAAGCCCGGAATGAAGAAATGGGAACGTCGCGGGAAAGTCATCATGTGGTCAAACTGCACGGCGTCGAGACAGAGACTCCAAAGCCATTTCCCCGGAGCCGCAGCGCTTGTCAACTTCTTCGATGTCGCCGCGAACCGTCGAGCAGCGTCTAAATCATCAGGAGCTTTCCCGACAGAGCTTTATGAACGGATTCTGGACTTTGTCGACTACGATACATGGAACAACTGCTTGCGAGTGTCAACAATCTTTCGTGCCTTATGCCTTCGCAGATATAGGTTTGATGATCGGATGAGGATTGTGGCAGGCCCCTTTGTGAGGCTACAAAGGGAGACTCGCTATGAAAGTGAGTATTTCTATCAAGATGAGTCTCGCTATAAAGAGGAGACTCGCTCTAAAAAGGAGCGTGTGGCATCCTTCGCCTTCGAAAACATGCAAACTGGCGAGATTTTCCCAATGATGCGGGCTCTGAGGGGTGAAAACAAATACACGGAGGAGTACAGGTGGATGCCAATCATTGGTAGCGACCGAAAAGCGCTCATGATGGACGTATCTTTCCAGTTTGCGCCAGCGGAAGATGTGCCAGTGGAGGCCGACAGTGATACCCCAATGGAGGAAGACGGCGATGTTTCCGTGGAGGCTGACAGTCAGCCAGGGGAGGCTTACAAATATGAGGAAGATGAAAGTGAGTCAGAGTCAGAGTCAGAGCGGGACGACGAGTATCCCCCAGGAGATGAGGAGGAAGAGGAAGAGGAAGACAGCGAGGATGGAAGTGCATGAAGTCTTCTGCCAGACGCCGCCGGCGTAGGCTGGAAGAAGCCTGACTAGATAGTAGATAAATTATGCTATCCAATCTGCCATAGGTACTGAAAGGTGAATTTCATTATCACTATTCATACAGTGGCGTTGCAAAATTTTGAAACTTCCTATTGCCCACTCTTTTTACATGTCTTCTAATGGGAGACTAGTAGCTACCTAGGATGGAATAGAAGTAGGTACCTGAGATAGAATAGATAGGCCTATCTATTCCATCCCAGGTAGCTATTAGTCCGCGATTAGAAGGCGGAGACGAGAACAGTCAACATGAGCTTTTGCAACGATACTAGTACTATTTTTCATGGAAATGATCTTCAATAAAATCACCATCACATCCCAGTGTCACGTTTATTTTCTCATGGTAAAGACTCTGTTCATAGTTTTTATATACTAAGGCTTCACAAGAGGCTTGCCAGTGGTTTTTCTTCCCTCCAGATCCTGTTTGACAACTGTCAATAAAGTTCTCCACGAAGCAAGGGTGATTAAATTACTCACATTGTGAACCTGGGCGATATCCTCCAAAGGGTAGATCTTATGGATCTTGGTCTTGAGTTGACCGGAGCTGAGCAGACTGAAGAGCTCGTTGGTGTAGAACTCGAACTCCTCACGGGTCTCAATGTAGCCGAAGAGAGTGGGACGCGCAATCTTCACACACTTGGGAGAAAGTTTGCTGCATATACCATTAGTATCGCTATGGGAAAAGATTTCAAGGAATGGAAGATACTCACGGCAGAGGAATAGGAGGAACAGGACCGCTCGCATTACCAAACCAGACAATCGTGCCCTTGCGCTTGACAGCTTCCAAGCTGCCTTCCCAGGTATCCTTGCCGACAGAGTCGTACACGACGTCAACTCCCTTACCACCCGTAGCATCCTTGACCAACTTAACCCAGTCTTTACCCTCTTCGCTACGGTAGTCAATCACCACATCCGCACCAAGAGACTTGACCAGGGCGCACTTCTCTGGGCCACCGGCAGTACCAATGACATTGGCACCGATCGTCTTCAGGATCTGGGTCATGAGGAAACCCGCACCACCGGCCGCGGCGTGCAAAAGCACCCAATCGCCCTTCTGCACTGGGTAGGTCTCCTTGACAAATGAGAGGACAGTCAATCCACTCAAGAAGGAAGCCATGACATCCTCATCGCTCAGCCCGTCGGGGATTTTCACGGTCTTAGCTGCCGGCGCGGCGGTATACTCGGCATAGCCCTGGGTGGCCAACCAAGCAACACGATCGCCGACCTTGAAGCCGGATGTATTGGGGCCGAGGGCTTGGACAGTACCGGCGCCCTCACGCCCGAGAATCTCCGGCTTGGGAGAGGCGTACAGACCAGTACGGAAATATGTGTCGATAAAGTTGACACCGGAGATGTTGTTCTTTACCAGAAGCTGGCCCTCCTGCGGGGTGGGAACTGGGTGAGAAGTCCTCAGTTCTAAGACCTCGGGGCCACCGGTCTTCTCGACCACAATGGCCTTCATGGTGGTGGGGATGGACATGTTGCGGATGGACACGAATGGCCGGACAGAAACTGGTGTGAATTGACTTTGAAGAGCAGCGAGACGAAGAGTGGTTCGAGGGAGAGCAGAGAAGAACATGGCAAGTGGGGAGGAAAAACGAGAGAGGTTGAATGAGTACTTATTACTCGTAGATGGTCATTTACTCGGAGCTTCAATTTGTCATCGCCCCTCCCCGCATTTAAGCTCCACGGCGGAATGCCGATGACGAATTATTATCCTCTCACATCTCTCACACCTCTCTCTCGCACAAACACTCACAACTTCGTGAGGCTAATCTATCGTCATGTTGCCCAAACCAAACCCAGATAGAAACCAACACACAATGGCACTCCCGACTTGAACTGCTTCTCATCCACTACTCCGTGCAATTGGCCCTTACGGATGCCGTGCCGAGTTCTCGGAGCATCCGAATGTGGGGACTTACGCCCTTCCGTCGGAGTTGGAAAGCAATCGGATCCAATGACAAGCACCCCCTAGTGCCGGCACTTGGAGTACCACTTCGACTGCATTCATTTGATGGGTGATGCCTGTCGCGTGCTATACTACATCTTGAATTATTGTGGCTGAATGATGAGCGCCCGCCAACCATCATAGCCGCTGATGATGATCTCAAACAAACACTGCAGCCATGAATCGATCATGTGGAATGCGATGGTGGCATGGTCATCTTCGTGGTCCCCTGCGAAGACCAACCTCACGATCGCACTCGCCTTTGGGTGCTTCAACTGCCCATTGGCAGCCCATCCAGAGGCGATGCAAGCCTCACCCCTGCCAGATGGAGCTGAGCCACCTCCGTCAGACTGGCTGCAGCCAAAGGTTGGCCTAGTTGGCCCAGAAAAACTAGCGCCGACTCTACAATCCATGCTCACAGTCTGAATAGTACCAAGACCTATACCCCCCGTCTTGATGCTAAGCGGCAGTTGATACAGAATGAGACACCCACCTATCCTCTCGTTGAGTCCTCACTTGGAGTATCTCAAACGTTGAACATCCCGATGCGACGCGCAGAGGGTATTTGAACATTCTTTTGGTCGCTGAACCGTTAGACTTGGGCGATAAACTGAAACGAAACCCATTGAGATGTCGACGAGGCGTCCCCCGCATGCCCTTTGTGCCCAATAGTTGGCAAGGCCTGGAGTAGCCACGAAGATTCGACTTTTGTTTAGACCAGTCGCCCTTGTGATACCCCTTGTTGACAATGATCGCTTTGCATCGCTTTGAATCACTCTGCGTGGTTTCTTTGCTTCAGCCTGATGCTATTTTGGGGGTGATTCGTCCACTTTCGCCCAATGGACACTGCGGCCCTATCAGCGATCCCCGGCCCAGTATGCTGCCCGATCCTATTTGGCCACTAATTTATATACCCCGGCCAACCCAACTACACATTTTTACTCTGACCTTTGTTTACTCGAGAAAATTTTTCACTCCCGCCCGAGCCTCATTGTGCGACGACTTTTTGTCCTCTTTCACTGCCCAACTTGTTCTTACTTAAGACTATGAGCCATTCTTCTCGACAGTCCTCATCAAACCTCATCGTACCAGGCTAGCGTATTTTACCAAAACCCACTGATCAGTCTATGATTGAAATTTATTCCTCACACAATGCGCCCTTCTCGAAGCAGTGTTCCATCTGCTCGAAACAGCGCACCGATTATCCAAGGCAACCTTCCTCGCCGTTGGCCTCCACGACCTTGTGCTGAAGAGGAGCCAGCTTCTCTCGCCAAAGAACTCCATGGCCTTTCGAAACTTGGTCAAAGGCCCGGTGTTGAAGGTATCCGTGAAAGAGGTGCTGTTGACCAGTACCCTATCATCGTCGGATTGAACACCGCTCCCGTATCGACATCGATCCCGCCCAGCATCCCCAATGTGCCTGGACTAGGCAACGTTTCTTCGGATGAGAGCTCTGGTCCAGCGACGCCCCCGCCCCAAGCTCCTCAGGTTCCTCGAGCTCCCCCAGCACCTCGAGTTTATTCGGCTCCCTCAGCTCCTGCTCCTCCAGCCCCAGCTTCTCGAGCTCCTTCAGCTCCAGGACCCCCATCTCGCGCAGCCCCGGTGCCTCGCTCTCAGTCCCCTGTTCGCTCGCGACCCCAACCGGCGTCAGCCTCATCTGCATCCAATAATTTCCGAGGTCGACCACAAGCGGAAGTCCATCAGCAACCTGCCCGCGACGCAAGTACGTATTTACCCCGTCGATCTCGCTCCCGTTCTCTCTCGCGAGCTCCAATTCCTCCCCAGGAGGATGCGCCAGTATTTATCGCTCCCCATAAGTCGCGAGGCGAGAGACCCGAGCGACCTCGATCTCCGTCTCGAGGTCCAGTCTACGAAAGGACCTCGTCGCGCCCCTCAAAATCTTCAATTGGCCGGTCCAACAGTGCACGATATAGAAGTTCAGCTCCTCGATTCGGGCCCAGTCAACGTCAACGAGAAAATTCGGGATATCTTTCTGACTCGGCCACTATACGGAGTAGAAACTCATCCTCATCTGGCTCTACAACACAAACAAAACCAACTGTTGGTCAGTTCACCGGCCTTTCGGTTGCAGAGAGACTTGAAGAGAAACTTCAGCTTCGACGAGAAATGCGAGAGCGGCAGCAAGATCACGGCGAAGCGGCATCGTTTTCGGATACAGAAATTCGCCCCAGGGTGTCCAGAGTGAAGTCTCTCGTGTCGGCTGGACCTCCCTCGGTCGTGGGACCCATACAGTACCCGCCTCCTCTTGAGCCAGATCGTGGCCCAAACTTCCGTACAAATGATCGACCTCCAGTTACACGCTCACGAACAACCTCTGTGAGTGCAGTCGGGCCGCCGCCCTCTCGATCAGCTTCCACGGCGCGCAAGGCATCGAGGTCGGGCTCGACCGATGACGGACCGCCAGCGACACGCTCACGAGCAGTCTCATCGGCTTCGGTTGCACCACCACCCGCTCGATCAGCCTCGACGGTACGCAAGGAATCGAGGTCAGCCCTCACTGACGATGGACCACCAGCCACACGCTCACGGGCAACCTCATCGGCTGCGCTTGCACCGCCGCCGTCTCGATCAGCCTCCATGACGCGCAAGGCATCGAAGTCAGTTTCATCTGAAGATGTCCCACCGAGTCTCAGAAAATCATCTCGGCCCCCAGCATCCGTCAAGTTCCAGGAGGAGCCCATTTCAAAGCCCGTCTCGTCTCAAACCATAACCACCCGTCAACCAAGTCCTCCCCAGAAGCCTCCAGCTCCCGTTGGACTATGCCTCACTCCCTGCCCTCGCTCCACCCCCGTGGCAGGCCACCAGGACTGGTATACCCTCAAAGGGCTGACACACCTAGACATCTGTCCAACTTGCATGAACCAGATCGCCCACTCTCGTTACCGCGACTTCTTCACCCCAAGCCTACCCAAGCCCTCTGCCCAAGCAGTCCGCTGCGCCTTCTCCAACGCCTGGGTCCGTCTGGCCTGGACACAAATGATCAAAAAGCAACACGACAGTCTCGAAATGCTCTACCAAATGACCCGACCACCACCAGGAACACGCCCATGCCCCGGCCGAACCATCACCGACCAAACATGGCACCGCGTCATCGACCCAGATACTGGCCTATACCTACCACGCTTCCAAGTCTGCGGAACATGCGCGCGAAAGGTCCGCATCTTGATGCCACCTCACCGAGACACATTCCACCACAATCCCGAACCATCAGAGCGAGTCTGCGACTTCGTCACGAACAGCCCACGTTTCGTCCAATTCATAGACCTACTCGATAGCGCCGCGACACGCGCAGAACTAGACCCATCCCGTCGACCCGATACGCACGAGTTCCTCTCCTACGCCCGGCGCAAGGTCGTCCTGCGTGATTGTCGACGCGATCGTCCGACGATGAGTACGTGGCATTATATCCCCGCTTTGCCGGAACTGAGTGTCTGTGAAGACTGCTATGATGAAGTTGTCTGGCCTCTTGCTAAGAATAATCATTCCATTGCGCGTATGTTCTCTACATCTATGCGTTTACTTCCGGGTGATGGGCCGAATCGGTGTCGTGAAGCGACTTGTCAGTTGTACTCGGCTCGGGTGAGGGCTCGATTTCGGGATGCGGTGTTGAAGGGGGATTTTCCGGCTTTGAAGAGTGTTTCTTTGAGGAGATTTGAGGCTGAGCAGAGGTTTAGGGATCGGAGGAGGAGTTGCTTATTGCTGAGAAGAGGGGGTATGATTGTGATGTGGAGATGAAGAAGGCTGTTGATGAGTGGCGGAGGTGGGAGTGATGGATCGATGGATGGGATCGATGGATGGGCTTCAGAATCTCGGTTGAAAAATGTATCACCTTTTGTATGCTTCAGTTGGCGGTTGTATGCTCGTCTCTTAATGTATAATGAAATTGTCATGACCTGTGAACGAATTTGTCTGGTGACAGTCATAGCCGAAAAGTACTAGTTTCTTATACCCTCTTTTCGTAACCACCAATAATAACTTGAAAGTAAGCACCCAAAGTCTTACAAGATCTTTAGATTGCGATCCGGCCGCATAATTAAGCCATTTGTTTTTACGAAATTTCACGAGGGAGAAGATAAAGATAGTTGATTAATTGAGATAGTTATCGCAGTAAGGTCTATACCTTATGGCCCCCCTTCTCTCACACACATATACACACATCATTTCACGCTGATCAAGCCTAACTGAAATCCTGTCGAGGTGGATGGGGTAAACTTAAATGAAAGCTCGGAGGACGAGGAAGTGGCCTTATAGGTAAATGTCTCCTCAATCCAGACAGCGAGCTTACTCGATGGAACCTGATATGTTTGGCTGTCGGATCCAAGGGTAACAATCAATGACGAGGTTGTAGTGCCCACTCTCCACCAAAATGACACGGTGTATGTAGTTCCCGAGGCGGTGGCCAGTGACTGAGAGAGCGTATATGTTTGCGGACTGATGCCAACATAATAGAATACAAAAGGAGTGCCAATTGATGACCCACTAGCATATGCGACTGTGCTTCCGCTACCTGCGGTCGTCCAGTCGGCCAGAGAGAAAGCGTTTCCTACGTCAAAATCTGGGTTTTGCACGAGGTTAACCCTGCTGGCCGCAGTTACGGTTGCGGTCACAGTTGTGGTGGTCGTTGTCGAAACTGTCTGGGTCTTGGTCACGTCGATGGTTGACGTGGTGAATTTAGTCTTGGTGATGTCGACTGTATTGACGACTGTGCTTTGAAGCGTGACTGGCTGAGTGGCGGTGATACCGAAGAAAGAAGTTGAAGTAATCGTTGCCACTTCCGTTACGTCGACGGTGGTCGTCGAGGTCTCTGTGATCGTTATGGACGCCGTTTCAGTGGCGGTGACATCGGCAGTTTGGGTAATTGTCTGGCTGGATGTGATATCGACTGTCTCCGTGTTGGTTTGAATCGTTGTCAGGTCAGTCGTGGCAGTGTTTGTGACGTCTGCCGTGATAGTTTCCGTTACCGAGGCAGTTTCTTCGGAGCTAATATCCAAAGTGGTCGAGACTGTCACGTCAGTCGTCACCGTGGCAGTGACGAGGTCGGTCTCGGTGGTTGCGATATCCACTGTTTTAACCAATTCTGGAGTATCGGTGGCAGTCGTAGTAGATGAGAACGTGATTGTTGATGTCTCGTGAACGGTTACCGTACTCGTGATATCGGCGGTGATGGTGTTGGTGACCGTCGTAGTCTGGAGATGGGGTGCTGTTTTAGTCACAAAGTCGGTTGTCAACGTTGTGAGGTAGACTGTATGGGTTCCAGGCACGTGTGTGTGTGTGGTAATGGTTTTAGTAACCTATTCAATAAATTAGCATACGATCTGCGAGACTCCAGCGAGATCGAGCCTACCGTAGGCTTTGCGACTGTCGTCGTAGTATACGTCGTGGACAGCCACTTCTCATCCCACAGGAAAGAGCATGCGCTTGAAAGATGACCATCGTGAATGTTTTTCAAGGCGGAAGGAGTGTGTAGTGCAGCACGTGCATTGATCTCGGCCCTTTTGACTGGTGCAATAGTTGTTACAGCAGTTGCAGTGACAGTAACACCATCAGTCTCGACGGAGGTGATTGTAGCAGTGATATAGTCAGTCTCCGTGGCAGATAGTGTGTTGGTAGAAGTTATGAAGTCGGTCTGAATAGTAGTCAGAGACTGAGTATCAGTCGTAGTCACATCCACCTCCCGAGTGGTCGTAGAAGAGATAGTATCCGTCACCGTTGCAGTGGCGGTATCAGTAAAGGAAATGGTTGTGGTCTCAGTATGAGAGTTTGTGATAGTGTCAGTTGCGATTTCTGTATGAAGGTTGGTAACATAGTTGGTTGCATGGTCGGTGATGTACGATGTAACAAAGACTGTCGCATAGTCGGTGATCGTATTTGAGAAAGTCTCAGTAGTAGTATCCGTGAAGTATTCGGAGACTGTGGCAGTCGTGTCGTCAGTGATTACCTCGGTGACCGTGTTCGTCATGAAGCTAGTCGCCGGCTTCGTGATTGTTATAAAGTCTGGCGAGGTCAGGAAGACGGTGGAAACATCCACACTTGTAGATGTGGATAGGTCTGTGATCGTCAAGGGCACAGTCTGAGTCAACGTCGATGTCACATAATGAGTTGCAGTAGCCCGTGGCTCCGTAATTATCGAGGTAATCCCCTTGGTGGTCGTTCTTGTCACCTCGCGAGAATGATCGGTGATAGTTTGAATGATCTTAACGGTAGTTGGCATTGGAGTCACCGTCTTAGTTTTGGTGGTAACTTCAGAACCGTGAATGAGTTCGCGACAGAAACCGCGTCCTTCGGGGCATCCTTCAATCAAACGAATAACTTCTTTGAAGGGCCCCTCATGCCAATTGGGTAACGGGTCATGCTTGACGGGACATGATTGGCCATGGTTCTCCGCGGGTAGGGCTACAGTAGTGGCTGCGCATGTCAATGCCAACCATAATGCCGATCTCCACATCATGATGAGTCCTCGCAATTTGACAAGGCGTAAACGAAAGTATTGCCCAGAAATCCTGTACTAATAATTGATAAGGCATGGCTTTATATGTGTATTGACGAGCGCGAGTCCTCCATGGGCCGCACGCAGCTCGAGTGGAGTAAATATGGTGGCTGAATAATATTCGAAAAATCAAGCTTCGGGGAACTCTGCCAACTTGAAACTACTCGTATACATTTCAAAACAAGCTGGTAAGCCAATACTATAGGCTCTGAACAAGGCCGTAAGCGAAAATGTGCCTGGCTCGGAGGAAGCTAGTCTCCGTCTGACCAAGCTTCAATGCTGGGACGATTGGGTGGCGGACACTATTAAAGGGGCGCTATAGAGACCCGGCTCCAGGCACTTTTCTGGTTCAGAAACCGATAGCAAACGAGAAGGAGCCTCCATTAAGGTCGCTTAGATTGGCCGAAAGACTAGAAACAAGTCACTTAGGTCTCGGGGTCTCCGAAAGGAAGACCGACCAGAAAGAAAAGCGGTTTGTTTTGCCGCTCGGCTAGATTCACCTATCTACGAATTTTTCACGATCCCGCTTAATTATAACGCGAATTGTCATCGGAAGTTTATGCCGGGTTGGCCCTAGTAGATTCTATAGTAATATTCTAATAGACAAGAATATCTACTGGCGGTAGAACAAGCTTTCAAAGAAGCCCTGGAGTGTACTCGGTTATGTACCAGGGAAGTTTGAAAACCGAATGGATAATTGAGACTCGGGCCCATGGATGTGTATTGAGATAGTCCCTTAACTACTTGAAATCTGTAACTACTACTGAGCGAGTTGCCGCTATGGAGCGCCGCAATATTGGAAATCAAGATTCATAACTTCATAACTCGTTGGACTCGACTCCACCCCCCTTTTCCCCCATCCTCACCAGATCACTCGACGAAAAGAAGGAAGGATTAGAACCCACCGAGCTAAAGATCACATTCTAGACCACTAAAGCTCATCATCCTCCGAGTCCGATCCTTCCATTCCAGTCTTTGCCTTTGGCGGACCTGCCAGCTTTAGATTGTCTATGCCAGTCAACTCCTTGCATTGCTTCAGGACCTTGTCAGAGACTCCTGCCGCTACGGTAGTGTCACTGGGGTTATTTGGATCATTAGCCTTCAGATACTGCTCCACTGCCTCCCTGGCAGATTGCTCTACGGAATCCTCCTGTTTGGTATCCTCATTTGACAGGTCCTTTGGCCATTTCCAGTGCAACATCAGGTCATTTGCCATCAAGGTATAGAACGAGGGCAATGTCGACATGATCTCGTCGAAATAGTAGACACCACAGTTGATTTCCCAGATGCCAGTCATGATCTTCAAGCCAGGGTAGCAGAACTCAAGAAGCTCAGGCTCAAGGAAGAACTCAAAATCATAAGCAGGGCCATTGCCTTTGTCCCACTCCGCACGTTCATCTGGAGACATGTCGATGTCTGGATTTGCCGGGTCGCGGTAGGACTTGGCACGGATCTTGCCCACGGGAACCAGGTCGGGTGCGGTTTGCTGGTAAAATTCGCGGGTGGCATCATCAGGCTGAATCACTTCGAGGATCTCAAAGCCGTCAATGTCCTCGAGCTTCATAGTAGAAACCGAGTTCTGATGGACCAACTCCTGGAATCGGGACGCTTGCTCGTTGGAACCGGCTCCTGCAATGGCATACTTGACCACTTTGCGAGCAATCTGGTCAGACTTCTCGTCCCCACTCTTGAGACCATCAGCTGGAGTGTTTTCCCACTCGGAAGCAAAATGATATCCGCCGAACAACATTGAGCAGCAGCGATTAAAGGCCCCTGGAGCTTTGTGAACGAGTTTCATGGTCTTCAAGAGTTCAATTCCAGCGAGGTCGCAGGTCTTTCGTGCTTGTTCGAGGTCATCTTTGTATTCAGGGCAAACGTCATGGTAGAGAAGATAGGTGTAAAAGTTTCTCAGCGTCACCGTTGCAAGTTCAATGTCCGCCTGGCGTTCTGGATTGAAGTGACTAACAAAGAACGAGCCACTTTGCTGAATTAGGACGCGGTACAAGTCGGACAGAGTAACATCGATCAAATATTGGATCACTCACAGGAAACCTTTGGCAACTTCATTGAAGCTGATATCTAGATTCAGGTTCTCTCGGGACTTTTCGACAGCGGTCTGGGTTCGAGCTTGCATGGCCTCCTCCTCGGTCATTCCTTTCACCTCTTTGGCACTCACTCCGGTGCCATAATTCGGTCCAGCACTGACACCGCCGTACTGCAGATACTTGTGAAACACGTTCAATCTGTCGGGGAAGATCCGGCGCTTGTGTTGGAATCGCATGAGAGCATCTTCGAATCGGCTGGGTTGAATGGTTAGAGGGTGTAAGTGTCAGATGGGAGTGAAAGTGCAAACTCAATAAATGAACGGCTCCTAACTGAAGTGTCAGTCTTGCTCCTACTAGGCGAGTGGGTGGGCTAGCTTACGGATTGTAAAGCTGTGACAGTTCGTCATGCTCCGCTGGAGTGATTGGACCATCAGCATTGTATTCTTCAAAACCGGTGGGCTTGTTCTGTTTGAATGGATTAATGGTATATTCTTACGATTCTCTGGAGCTTTCATATACTGACCAGTCCCCGCTGGCTCTTTGGCCGCTTATTGTTGGATTTTCCCATCTCGAGCTAGAGATCAAGGTTGCGGTAGAAGAGAGAGAGAAAGATGTTGATGAAGAATGATAGTAGATCAAAGAGAGAAGATGAGAGGAAGAAAGAAAGAGCCCTCCAGGGCTGGAGGAAGGTGTGCCCAGGTGTTGTTGTTGGTGTTGTTGATGCTGGTGAGGCAGGAGCAAACCGCGGGTGCCTGCCTGCTTCTGCTTCTGCTCCTGCTTCTGCTTCTGCTTGGGTGGTGCCTTCCTGTTTGCTTTCAAGTTGTTTACTACTAGTAATAATACTGGTATCATTACTGGTATTGATAGTTAGTAGTATGATGTTGTTGCGCTGAAGTATATTTAGAGGTGATATACCAGTGGTGACATGGTTATTTAAACTTGAATAGATACTACTAGTAGGAACTGCCAGTGACTGGTACTAATACCACTACTAGTAGTATCTATTTAAGTTGACATTTACTACTAGTAATAGTACTTATCGTGTCCTGCCTAGCCAAAGAATCGACAGCACATACTGATCTGAGTCGCACGGTGTCAGTGACACGGTCGAAATCACTAGTACTAGTATTCACTTTAGAAACCGGCTTGGTGGAAGCGCTGACATCCGATCGGCCTTTCATTTCCCATCTATCTGCTGTCCAGGTGAATACAAATATTTATTTATACCCCAGACTTCCCGTTCGTGTTCCTGTTCCTGACCCTTTACCCTGCAAATCTTCTCTCAACTTTGGTTCAACTTAATACTACTAGTACCGTTCAAGTTTGTTGAGTCATCCGGCAGACGATTGAACCAGACCCCGAATCACTTGCTTTCTCACTTCTGACTTCTGACTTCTGACCTCTCCATCACAATGCCCGCCTCAAAATTAGGCAGTCGCAAGACGCCACAGCTGGGCAGCGATGATTTGGTCCCTTTCGACCATGTTGCTGCGGGCCAGTAAGTTTCGCCTTTCCCCGACTTGTCCGATGTCCACGCGACCGCCCCGAAAGCTTGCCGCCAACGGGTCAACGGTCAACGGTCAACGGTCGTACATGGGCGATCAGGGCCAGCTACAAGCTAAGCTTCTGGCCAGAGAGATGCTGGGAAGCTTCTCAACCTTTGTTCTTTGAGCTAACGTCATCCGTTTCTTCCTCTAGTGAGGGTGTCCGCTGCACCCACTCCGGCTACATGATCGCGAAACCTTGCACGAAACAGGAGATCGAATTCTACGAATCAAGTACCCTTCACAAATCCTTCCAAGAGTTTATGCCCCTCTTCCTGGGCACCCTTTCATCTGCCGATCAGCAATCGCCAGTGGCTCTTGCTGCCGCCCAGGAAACGGGCGCTCACTTTCTTCCTGGCTCCGCTGAGGCCTCAGCTGCTCCCCCCGCCCAAGCGCAACCGGAGGGGGAGTCCGCCACGCCAAATGCCGGCAAATCCAGCCACATGCTAGAACAACACTGGGTGCCGTCCGGGGGCAAGAAGCTGGAAACGGGCCTATCTATCGTCCTGGAAAACATCGCTTGTGGGTTTCGCCGACCCAACGTCCTGGACGTCAAGCTCGGAGCTAGACTCTGGGCGGATGATGCTCCGCCGGCGAAACGCACCAAGCTGGATGCAGTGTCCAAGGAGACAACAAGCTCTCCCTTAGGATACCGTATTGCCGGGATGAAGATATGGACGGGTGAAAATGGTGGAACCGATGAGGGCGCTCATACCGACCCATATGCCACGAAATACGAGGCCTCAGAGGGTGCAAAGGGAGAAGTCATTGAGAAGGACGGGTACCGGAGATATGACAAGTGGTATGGGCGCTCATTCAACGAGGGCAATGTGAAGCAGGGGTTTGAGACCTTCCTTGCCGGAGCCAAAGCTGGCAAGGTTGACCGCTCTAAATTGATTGCTGAGCGGTTGGCCAAGGAGTTAAAAAACATCCAGGAGGTTCTTGAGGCCGAAGAGAGTCGCATGTACTCTGCCAGCGTATTGGTGATCTACGAGGGTGATCCAGAAGCCATGGAAGAGGCATTAGAAGAGGAAAAGAAGATCCCCGACCCAAATGATCAGGAAGAAGATGACGATGATGATGACGATGACGATGAAGAAATTGGCTTCGAAATATCAGAACAAGCCTTGGAGCTTGTTGATGCTAACGGAATGCCGCAAACCGCCATCAACATCAGCATCGATCCTCAGACAATGGAGATGCCCACCATAGTCGACGACGACGACGACGACGAAGACCCACCAAAAGTCCACGATCTCCGCGTGATTGATTTCGCCCATGCCAGATGGGCCCCAGGGGAAGGGCCGGATGAAAACATGTTGATGGGAATTAGAAGCTTAGTCAAGGTCTTTGAGGAACTTGCTCTTTGAACGCAGGCTCAGATAGTACATCAACCCAGCTGATTGCTGGCAACAGCTGGCGTGTGGAATTCTCTGCCTAGCCAATCGTTTCTTATATATAGACTTTCAACTCATTTAGCCAGTTTAATGCATTTACAAGCGGTCTTTCTGCATTCAATTCAAAGCAAAGTTCACTCCTCAGTTTCCACAGTCTGAAATATGCAATAAACAGCAGTGAACATCAGTAAATATGGGGTATACTTCGGGCCAATAGCCGCTGTATATATACGCTGACATAATCTCGAAATCTCCAAAAAGGTTTCAACTTCAGCGGATCACGACCACGGACAATCGCAAGTCAAAATGTTTGCCACGCGTGCTCTGCTGGGCCGCTCGGTCTGGAAAGGTATGTTCCGCTGATTCCAGTGAAAAGAAATATCAGGATATCCTGGAGGAACCCCATTGCTTACACGCTCAACAGGCCCGAACATTGTCCCGTATGTTCAACCCGTCAACCCAAGCACCACCCCCTCCGCCATTGCTCGATGAAATGCCCTGGGAGGATGATTTCACTTAACAGGGAATTGAAATACTAACCTCCGCCAATGCAGTCTCCCTCTCCCGCGCACCCTCCCCCCCTCCCCCAAACACTCCCCCATCCGCACCCAAAAGCGCGCCGCAACCATTCTTCCCAATTTCGTTGGCCTGCGCTTCGCTGTTCACAACGGAAAGACCTACCAAGAGATTCAGATCACGGAGGAGATGGTCGGCCGCAAGCTCGGAGAATATGTCGCGTACGTTTTACCAACTCAACTCCGGCCACGGATCTTCAGGCCCAGGCAGGGTATCCCGCAGACCGAAACCGAACTTACAGGAGAATCAATACAGGACCCGAAAGCGCTTCACCTACAAGCAGTCCAAGAACAAATAAGCGAATCGTCTGATTGCCGCATCGTCCCGGCTAGGAAGACTTCTTGGATCTCGAGACCAACGCCCCGTGCCAGCCGGCCCAGCTTCAATCCACTCTTCTCGCCAACAATCACCCTTCTTCGCCCAATTGCTCGAGACTGGATTTTCGAAATTGCAGAGATCAGTCGAAATCAAATTCTTATACCCTGCGGAGAAGAGCGATTCAGGCTGGAAATCGATGGCATGCTTTGTTGAAAGCACCTTGTTTCTTTTATTTGGCCGCAGTGCCCGTGTACAGATAGTTTTTATCAGTGGTATCCCTTGTGACATTACCTACTCGTGGGATGGAGTTTAGCCATGGAAAAATGCATTCACCATAATTTATATCTGATTCAAATGGTATACATCGATCGTATAGCTCAAGAGGACTAACTGATCTAGATGACAAGACGAAACTCGAAAAAGAAAGCAAGAAAGAACACCATTTCCAGGAAGGAAAAACCTCCCTCCCATCCAAAAATGCCCGGGCCGCAATGTTAGCGGCCTGCTTGACCGATTTGAACGCCAGCGCCGAAACCCATCGTAGATAGTAACATAAGAAAAGAAACCCAACCGGAGAAAATAGGCGAGGCATGAGAATCAGACAAAAGGACGAAATGCGATGCGCATTAAATGAAACGCCCTCAAAGCAACCACTATCCCAGTCTGCCCTAGCCAGACATGTAGCCAGGAAGTTCTCAACGATAGAACTCGCCGCGCTTCACAGTGACCCCATACTCTGAAACCGCCATGCCAAGATCTTCCATGGTAAGCACAGTCCGGCCCTGACCCGTACCACCCGAACCCCCACCTCCAAATCCAGCCCGCTGAATACCGAGATGCGTATTGCCCTTGTTTCCCTTGTCGCCGCCGGCAGGACCTCCCGGCGCTGGGCCCGCGGGCCCGCCGAGACCAGACGCAGCTGTCAAACTGCCCATTGGGTTGCTGGCGGAGGAACTGTTGGAAGCGCGGATGCGGGCGAACTGGTAAGAGTCGGCTGCGAGGTCCGAGACGAATTTCTGCGTCGCGAGCGCGAGGAGGCGGGCGAGGTGTGGTGGTGTTTGGTTGGGGCCTGTGCCTGGGGGTGGAAGGCCGGCTAGAGTGAGGTAGTGTGCTGTTACTGCGTCGGGGATCTAGAGAGGTGGTATGGAGGTTAGCTTCGTGTTTTTCCCGCTGTTGTTGGACTAAAGGCCCTTGTCTATGTCTTTCGCGCGGAAGTCACTCTAGATGAGAGCTGGCGTGAGAGTGAGGTGAGGTGAGGTGAGATAACGCGGGGAGTAGGTAGTGTATGTAGTCGGGAGTACGTAGTAGCTTGGCTGGCCCAGCCCAGAAGAGGAAATGGGAGGAAACGATAAGAAAAATCACGTACTATTGGCGCATAATCATCCATCTTGCCTAGGAACTCGCGCAAGCTGGTCTCCTTCTTGGAAGGCTGCGGCGCGGCGGCCATGGGATCGTCATTCGTTGGGAGAGGGGCGTTGTCGTCGCCGGTGGCCTGGGTCTGTTCTGCATTCATGTCGATATCTTGTTCGATGGAAGCGTCAAGGTCAGGTTCGGGCTTCACGGCCGAATCAGTGGTTGGCTCGACAGGAGTAGCTGATGGCGGGATGGGGTGCTCTTGTGACCCGTTTGGCGGTTGGGGGGTCTGGGAAGGTTGTTCACTCATGGTGGGCAGGTCATGGATGTTGTCACTCCCCTATAGGATCAAACAATGGGCTGCAGGGACCAGGTGTGACGAGACCAATCAATTCAGTGGTGAGCTGGGAGTGGTCAGTGGTCAGATGTTCGTCCTATCGTCGCAGAGCCAGTCACAGAGCGAGTCACGAGCGGAGGAGGTGGGTGCACGGCCCATCTCGGCGGTGGAGTCGCTTCTGATATTCACGAGTTTATACTAGGAACTATAAGAGGTTTGTAAGTTGGAATAACACTGGCACATTGAAAGGATTTAATTCAAATGTGTATTCGGTCAACTACGGTCGTGACAGATGCTCCAGAGGGCCCATATATAATTCATTGCTTTACGATATCCTAGGGGGTTGAATTGGCAAGCAAACTTGAAGCTTTAGCAAAAGTTTCGATATTGGAAAATACACCTAGGTAGCTAGCAAGAGCCATCTATCCACCCAAAAAATGACGATTGTTAACAATTATTTAATTATAAACCCTCAAAAACCTCAACCGCTGCCTGGGCAGTTGACGCCGCACTGGCAGGATTCTGGCCTGTCACTAAACGGCCATCAACGATGTGAAAGTCATCCCAAACTCCAGCGGAACGCTCATCTATAATTTGAATTAGCTTTGAATAGGGGATAAAGTCTAAATTTTAAGTAGAACTCACAAGTAGCCCCAAGACGTTTAGCAATTTCCTCGACCAGCTCAGAATTCCAACTCCGAAGTTCAGCCATGATTCCCATAGTGTCCTCGGCTTCAGAGGTAAATCCAGTAATCTTTCTGCCTTTGATAATAGGCTCCCCAGTTGCCTTATCGAGAAGATTGGCAAATATAGCAGGACCGTGGCATACCGAGGCAATAACACCACCGTTTGCCCAGGCTTCCTCGGCGATTTTCTGCAAGGACGATGCAGTGGGATAGTCGATCAGAGCGGCATGGCCAGCAGAGGCGTAAAATAGGCCATACTGAGACTTATCCAAGTCGGCAGCCTTGTGTAGATTGTCTAGCTTTCGGCGAAAGTCGCTGTTGTGATCGTTCCAGATCTTGAGATCATCGCCGTTGAGAAAGTCTGGTTGTTGCGACAGCCAGTCAGGAGTGTATTCTCCCGTCTCAGAGGCGAGATCGACTTCAAAACCCGCAGCAGTAAGAACTTTGAAAGGGTGAAGAGCTTCGCTGATGAAGAGTCCAGTCGTCTCTTTTCCTTGGAAGAGTGTGGCCTGGGCCGAAGTGATGCTGATGAGCGCCTTGCGAGGAGGAGACATTTTAATTTTGGAAAAACGTTGGAATAGTAGACTTTTCTTATATGAGAAAGATACTTTGATGAGATGTGAACATTACTTTGAAAATGTGCAGATGAGATGGGAATTTATAGGCCTTCTCATCTATAGCTAAGTTGGGCTGTCAGCCTCACTCCGCAACTCCGCGACTCCGTCATCCCGCGACTCCGCAACTCCGGCTTATTTGCAGATTGAAATTACGCAGGCCCATTTAACCGGTATCCAAACAACGGTGACTCTATCAGACCGCCATAGCATATTTGAACATTATCCAATCATATTTGCGCGAATGCTCGCCTTTTCCTCCCAAGACTTCTTGCATCCAGGCTCGCCTTGCAGAGTGAAGTAAGCGGCTGTCTGCACAACTCTGTACCTCCGACGAAAGTCCAGTCGACCTAATAGGATTGGGAACCAAATTACGATAGTAGTTAGATGCTGATTATGATCGAATTATCAATAAATGGAATCGCTCAAAGCAATATGGGGCGGTACGCGAAATGAATTCTATGTTATACTCTGAGGTGAGTACGAAAAAAGCACGCCTAGTTCACTGGAAACCTTGTTGAAACATTCTAGTCACTAATAAATCCATGGATGCAAAGTTGCTTACGGTCAAATTATTGGTACCTAGGAATACGTTTGGAGGCAGCCAGCGACTTCTAGCCGAGCTAGACCGATCAAGCTGGGACGAGGACAGTGCTCCTGCTTCCAGGGGACAACCGAATCAACGCTAATGAGTTTTCATTTAGACTTCGATGAATTACGAGAATTGTGATTGAGATTAGCTATCTTTCAATAGAGGCATTATATAATGGCATTTTCAGACAGACGGATCATTCCTGGTTCATATTTCTGGTTAGAATTGTGATATATTATCAAACTCGGGCCATAACGCCTCCACGCTATTCCAGAAATCAATGTCGACAGCCATATCAAACAGGTTGAACTCTGATGCATCGAAAGGATCATGCGATGACAGAGATTGATCAATTGACACCGACGATGAGGAGCTGGCTTCGAAGTCTTGGGGTATGATCGCAGCATTGGATGCAAGATCGCTGGGCTTTGCGAGGACCTCAATTTTGACGAATAAATCGCGAACTATTTTCGCTGCATTCGCTGCGACGGGAAACTTGGCACCGAAATTATCGAAGACCGAGATAGACAATTCAATTGCTTGCTTAGCCTGGTTGGATATTGTCGAAGACGGAAATAACATCACAAACCCAACAAGGGTCATAACTGCATTCCACTGACAGAAGAAGGCCTCGTGCCACCCGTCAAAGAGCGTTGATTCCATGAGCGCCTGGTGCGTGATCATCGTCAACATAATTGCATGAGAAGCGCATCTTATGGCGAGTTCCTCTGCAATCGAATCCGCCGGCGATTTCAAGGTGAAGGATATGAATGGTCGACAAAGGTTTATGCTGAGATGATGATATGTATGTTCGAGGAGCAAGCGCTGTCGTTGCAACCAAGGTGGAGTAAATGGCTCAAATATAATGGAGGTAAAATCTGTGGAAATGGGTTGTCCATTGTTTTGACGCTTCAATTTCAGAGATTCTGGAACACCATCAACCCATTCTTGGAAGCTCTGGGTGTGTGTGTTTAGAAGTCCCGCACTAGAGGCTTGAGCTTCGTGATCAGCCCATAGAGCCTGGCCTTCCTGCAAATAGATATACTGATCGTAAAATGCCGAGTAGGCTGTTCGAACTTTGATGTAAAGTTGGACCATGTGTAGATTATAACTCAACCATGTGACATTCTGTCCGATAGGAGCAAACATGGATCCGGAGCTCACGGCGGCGTCAAGAGTATCACTAGGTAAAGACGGCATGGCGTAGGAGTTAGACAGCATGAAGGGACGACCAAGCTTCATTCCAGCTTTACTGTCCATGAGGTAAACTGCCCACCAAAGCCGCCTGCGCATCTCGCGATCCTTTTCGGACATGGTCGGCGGGGGATCCAGATGCAGACCAAGCATATAAGCGGTGCTGACAGCGAGGCCTACCGTACTATTCATCATATTGTGGAAAGATCCGCCACATATGTAGACTGCACAGAGCAGATGACATTGTAGTGTTGATAACGATGGGTTGTCGAGTTCGTATTTAAGCAACTTTTGCCCACGCCAATAGTGCCACCGACCTGCAACTAGAGCATCTTTGCCCTCAGCAAGAACTCCTTGAATCTCTGCAGGCATTGTAGAGGTTGCATATTGCATGCACATAGCAATCATAATATCAACGAGGGCTGAGGGTCTTCGCCCCTGCCCGCCATCCACCAAGAGAGACTGATAATGATTCTTGAACTGTGTCTCATCCACAATCGGAAAAAGCGACGTATGGTAGGTTTGCCAATAAAGGTTTAAAAAGTAGTCCTCTTGTATGAGACTCAGGTAAACCCCCGCAGTAGCGACTTCTTCGCGTGGAGGTGTCCATGGACAGCTTAGGTTTGCAAGTAGGCCCGCGTCTGGTACATCCAGGAATTTGTGATAACTGGCTGAAACAGGATGCAAACGATGGACGGGATTTTCTTTTCGCAGTTGAAGGTTAAGAAACTTGCTAAGACATTGAATAAAAAAGTAAAGCGATGATGGCCCAAACCACGTCTCGTTAGAGGAGCGCGTAGGCCTGAACTGAATACCATCACGGTATCTTTTCAAGCCAAGGTCATGATCCTGTCCTGTGGATATAAAAGCCGAATGCAGTGATGGTGATGATGTTATAGGGCTTGGTAGGGTCTGTTGGTCGGAACCCTGCCGCTTGAGCTCTGTTTCTAATTGCTGAACTTTCCGCTTGAGGTGGGCAATTTCCTCGGAGGCTTCCGTGAGAGTTGAGGCCTTCGATGCACCACTATTACTGCAGTGGTTTCCACGTTCCATGCATTTTGAACATGGTACGCCATTGTCGCACTTGGCGCGGCGAAGTCGACAAGCATCGCACGCTCTAGCTACTTGGACCCGTCTCTGGCGACGCCGCGACCCCACTTGATCTTCAGGTCCTAACAAGGAATTGTCCAAACCCACAACCATAGAAGTGGCGTGACGATAGGCAACAGCCTAGGTGGAGAAAAACTAACAAGCCCAGTTAAGAGCGATATTGATCTTGGTGGTCCAGAGGAAACAGGATGGATGTCCCCCTCTTACCAATCTCACCTGGGCATATACGCAGCACGTGATGTATCATGTGATATGCGCCTTGGGACTTGATGTACATGGTCATGTGACTGCGAGTGAACAGTCGTGCTCTTTGTTGAACGAGACAGACTCGGAGGGAGGACCTTTGGAAGTGTGAGAACTTAAGGACGAATTGAATGGTCATGATTACTGAAGTGCTGGGTTTGTTCAGTTCAAATTCAGAGATAGCTATGTCTAATGTACAAGACTCATCCACCGCTTTTCATACTTCGCTTCGTAATGTGCAAACTCCAGTGGAAATTCAATAGTACAATCCCTCAAACTCCAGGCAAATAAACAGCAAGAAATAAAGTCTGCATGCCTAGAAAATAAGACTTCTGGCTTAAGATCAACTAGCAAAATGCTCGAGAGATAAGGCGTCGAAAATCGCTTATTGTCCCAATTGCATGTGAGGATCGATGTGGTCGGGGGTGGCGGCGTGGTGTTGAGGATATTGACTGCCGTGCACCTCTTGACTAAGCGTCTGCATTAAGTTCTGTTCGGCGGTCTGGTCGAACACAGATTGGCTATTAGCATCCGGGGGAAGGCTGGGCGAGGCAGACATCTCGTGTCCGTGAACGGGCGACGGGTGTGCCCCAGCCAAGGCCATCATACCCTTGATGCCCTCGACATGCGCCTTATCCTCCTCGCCTTGCTTCTTTTGACGCTCGCGGGCCTCTCTCTTGGCAGCCTGAGCAGGCGCACGAGTCTTCAGCTCACCAGTGACAAATTTCAAATAGTAAGGCACTTCAATCCCGCTCTTGAGGAAGAACAACTTCAGATTGCGAGCTTTGTCCTTGAGCTGCACCTGGTTACGGTCTTTCAGAGCTTCACTGATGGTTCCGCCAGGGCCGAACATGGCCAGGATCTGGCTCCAGTGTGGTCCTTTCACGCGATCAAGACCGGCCATCAGGGCATTTTCCTCCTCTGTAGTCCAAGGCCGTCGCTGACTGGGGAGACCGGACTTTCGACTGGTAGGTGAAGACTTTGCTGATGCGGCCATCCGAGCCCGCTCGTACAGGACTTGGGTCGGTTGCGATTGAGAGATGTGGGGTATACCTGGAAGATAACCCTGTTGTTGCGAAGACATCCCGTTGTTTCGAGCTTGCATTGCCTGCGCTGCATTCGGATTGTATTGCTGGAAATTTGCTTGCAGGGGACTTTGTTGAAAGGTTAGGCCACCAGACTGTTGTTGATGATATCCACTAGGAGGGGTGGGGCTATGGTGGAACTGCGGTTGCGGCTGCGGTTGCGACTGTTGATGCAGCTGTTGATGTTGATGCTGATGCTGCTGTTGAGCAGGCTGTTGGGGCTGCTGCGCAGCAGTATAGCCGTGAAGGTATTGGTTATCAGGCTGAGTGGGCTGCTGCGACTGCTGCGGTTGTTGCGATTGTTGTTGTTGCGGTTGTTGTTGCTGCTGCTGCTGTTGCTGTTGCGGCGGCTGGGTATGAGGTTGGGCATGAGGTTGAGGAGATTGGCTAGCTTGAGAGGGAGCTTGTTGGTATTGACTCTGTTGCTGAGATTGTTGCTGAGAGCGTCGGAGGCCATGGCCCTGTAACGCAATCTGCGCCGCACGAGCAGCACGGGCAACGAGATCGCCATGCATGTTGCGGTCTACCGGAACCTCAACCGGTTGGCTCACAGAGAACTGCCCTTGATGGGTAGTGCTGGGCGACTCTTGGGCATCGCCATTGGAGCTAGAAGGTTGGCGCCCTTTGATGGGTTTCTTTCCCTAGTGTAAGCATTAACATCGATGAAGTGGCCAGGAGAAGTGGTAACACACCTGTTGAGAATTAATTTGATCGAAGTTTTTGGCGATGTACGAGCTCAGATCTCGAAGGAAGTGTTCCCAATGGTATTTGTCTGGCAAAGCCTTAAGTGCATCCTCGTTGTTGATGTCATTAAGAAGAATATCACGGCGGGAGGACAGTCGATTCACAAAGTCGGTTTCGCTGGGAGCCAATTGCTTCGTACCAGGACGTCTCCCAAGTAGTCGTTGTTCCATGTCATCAGGGAATAGTTCACACAGAAGCTGTGTCCGCGTACGAGTCTTGCTGTTCATGGCTGCAATGAAAGCCTGAGTCTTGAGCTCCAGGTATAAAGCCCCTTGGACCTTCAACAGCCGGCCACCTTCTGGCACAAACACATCTAAGAAGTGTTCATTCAACTCCGAGAACCCGATTTCCTGAGAGCCGAAAATACTGGAAACAAAAGAGGCCAAATTGGCCTTGCGAATGATGTCCACTTGGGATGATTCGGTGATTTCAAGATCGGAAGTTTGGAGGAAGGAGTGTTTCACGGTGTAAACCCTCTTGGTATGATCGAATAGCGAGCGCATGGTTGCGTATGCTTGGCCGTTCTCGGATTCCGGCTCGGATACCATGGCAGTCAGGTCCTGGTAACTGTTCTTGGAGAGAAACGAGAGGATTTGGGTTGACTGGGAAGGTCAGAACCTATATCCGTTCCCAAAAAAGAGTGCGACTATCAGACTTACCAAATTATCCAGGATGGGTAAACTTTGGATTTTCAGATGAGAATTGGCTTTGAGGAACGCGAAGCCCCGCGCACCGGGGAATTCGCCGACCGGAGATATTTCTTGCGTGCCCATAGCTACCGTCTGATCTTGACGCTCCGTGTGGTCCATTATTTCGGATATGATGGACGCGACATCAGCGTTGATGTTGGGGTTGTCATTCTGGGTGACGGTTGGATCGGATTGAGATTGATCACCCGGCGGGTGATCGGTAGGCTCGAGTGAATCCACGACACTTTCACCGAGTGCAGTCGCAAGTTCTTCTTCAATCTTGTGGCCGGGGCCGTGTTGATCTAAACTGTCAAGGGATTGCTGGAAGGTGGGTTCGTCGTCCGGGCCAGCGTCCATCCGACGCTTTTTAGCGGCAGGCGGGGTACCATGATCCTCTTCCTCGAGGAGAAGGGGTGGCTTTTGGTCTATTGCAGAAAAGGAAGGAAGTAGTCAGCCAAAGAGTGAATCAGGGTAGAATGGGGAGATAGTAGGTTAAGTAAAGTAGGACAAGGCAACAGCAGGAGATAGTAGTAGTAGCAGTAGTAGGCGCCAGCTGCATGGGGCAACAAGAAACAGACAAACGCCAACGGGCAATGTAGCACTCACCCAGTTCATCGTCAGGAAATGAGGGAAGATCAGATGTGGCATCGAAAGATGGCCGATTGCCTCGAGTCTCGACCATCTGGACTATCAGTCTCTAGGGTTGGGCTGTCAACTTCCAAGAGCAGAAATGAGGGCTTAGGGTAGGGGTAGGGCGCAGCTGTAGGGCTTCCAGGAGGTCAGGTTTTTTGCCTCGGAGGGGGCTTTGTTCTAGTGCGATTGCCAGGAAGTGATATTATTGGACAATGACTTGACCGCCTCTGAATGCGGAGAAATACATTGTATGTACGGAGTACTACAGCAGTTGTAGGGCGAGTTATCGTTGTTTGTTCACTATTGTGTTTATTACTAGTTAATTATTGCACAGTGAGATATAGGGTATTCAGTATTAACATATACTAATTTCGCTCTATCTCACTCCCGGGTGTGTCTAGAAATATTAATACTACGTACCATGTATTATTATGTGCTGCCAATGGACAATGGACGAGCGGGTACTGCCAGTTGCCAAAAGTACGGAATTGACGCCTGATATCAAAGGCCACACTATTCCCCACGACCACTAGAAAGCAGAAATGATATTCTTTTCTGAGCTGGCAAGATACTAGTAGTCTTTAAAATATTCTGCAGATCTTGACTGAATTGAAATTAGTCTCAGTAATATTGTATAAATCTTTTCGTAGTCTACATTTTGTCCCTGGCGATCTGTTTCATGTCAACCCTGATTAGTGCGCGTCATCGATGCATGGGACTGGCTGGCTCTTCATCCTGGGTCTGTAACCCTCCAACCACACCTATCCTACATCTCTGGCTACGTGAATTCGCTGTGAGCCAATTTCTTTTTACCTTTTGAATCAAAATTGGCAAGAAACTTATTGTGAGGGATAAAATAAGGAAAATCAACTCCAAGAGCGTTCCGGACAAACAAAATGAACATTGCTATAAGCTGGGTCTTCGCTCTGAAATTGCTCTGACCAGTAACAGCCAAATCACCCAACCAAAGATCATTGTGTGCATCCATGGAACACTGGGTTTGAAAGCTTGAATCCTTTCTCTAGGCTAATGCTGCGAGTGGTGATCCGCCCGACGCTCCCGAAACCCTAATCATGAGGAGCTTATATGCCCCAGCGACCTTCAAGCCCATGGTTTCTCAATAACGCCCAGCAAGGTTAGTTTCCGAAAGCGGCTCTCTGGTGGCACTGATTCCTGTAATCCTCGAATCCATTCAGTATGCACCAGGGGTCTAGCCGGCCCATGCTACCTGGGCTCGTAGAACTGCCCTTCTTATTTGGAAACAGGTCCCGCGTCCTTTTTCCAACACTTGTTCGTGATAAATGCCGCCGAGGACACTAGTACTACGATAAATCGCCTTTGTCTACCTCCCATTAGCTCGAGGCTACTGCCCGCTTCAACCGCCGACATGTTCTCAGCCCATTGTTCCCTCGTGATTGCGGTATCAGTCCAGTTGGCCGCCATAGCTACGGCCCAGGACTACACAGAGACCGTTTGGGGTATCTTTGCATACACTACTTATGGAGACACTCTCCCCAATATAATGTCGCAAGTGAGGACCAGGGCGCTATCTGACTATGGAGCCAGCCAGCTTGAGGCGGCAGGGTCGGCCTTCCGTGATAGATATGTCAGGACAGGAGGAAGTGCGTACTACGCAGGATCCACGGTTCAAGGCCTTGCTCCTTTTTACCTCGACTCACAAGATGTCAGCATCCTCACAACAACTGATCAATATGTCATCGCCTCTGCACAGGCTTTCATGCAAGGCCTCTATCCACCATTGAATCAATCCGATGTCCAAGCCTCCGACTCAACACCGAATGGCACTTTCTATAGCTATCCCCTCGGCGGATACCAATATCCCAAAATCGTTAGTCTCGGGAGCTCCGACCCACAGTCTATCATGGTCGCGGGTCAGGCGCAGTGCCCCATGCATCAAGCCGCCGTGAGCGAATATCAGGACAGCAGTGAGGCCCAGGACATTACGCAGGAGAGTGCCGCTTTCTATACGAAACTCTGGAAGGAAGTATTGATGGGAGAGATGGATGAGTCACAAGCAACCTACAGTAATGCCGTTGACATTGCCGACTTCTTGGACTATGAGATTCTCCACAATACCCAAGCTCTCGAGGTTCTGGGCGATTACGATCTGCGACGCTCCCGGTGGCTTGCAGATCAATATACATATGCTACGAATAAGCAAGATGATCAGCAATCTGCAATCGGCCTCATGAATCCTGTTGCCGGACAAGGCTTGGCCGCGAGTATTCTCAACGCTTTCTCGATAAACGTTGGAACATCTGGATTGCAGCAGAAAGTGACGTTGCTGTTTGGTAGCGATGAGCCTGCCGTGGCTCTAGCCTCTCTCCTGGGGCTGGCAAAGGAGCAACAGCCAAACTTCTATTCTCGCCTTGTCCGTGGTGGATCCCTTGTCTTTGAACTTTATAGTTTCGAAGCAGACGAGATTTACCCCAGCTATCCGGGCTCTGATAATCTATTTGTGAGATTTTACCTCCACAATGGCACCGATTCCTCCGAGTTCGCTTCATATCCGCTTTTCGGAAACGGGCCAAGCCAGGAATATGTTCCATATAGCGAGTTCCAATCCGAAATCGAGACCTTCGCGATGCAGTCAACAAAGGAATGGTGTACTCAGTGCAATGCGGATTCCATTTTCTGTACTGGGTTGATGGGAGACAGCAGTTCCTCAAAGCAAAAGAAACAGATGTCTCCTGCGGTGGCCGGGGTTATTGGAGCTTTCGTGACTCTGGGTGTTGGTCTTCTCTTTGGGATGATCTTTTCTTCTGTGGCATTCGCAAACGTGGAGGCAACAAGCCTGGCATCGGGGGGTTTAAAGGCAACGACAAGAACGCCAGTGATGCAGATCTCAATTTCCGGAAGCCAATCTGGGGCAGTACCTCCAAGCCAAATGTCGGGACTGATGATGATCCATCCGCTGCTGGCATTGTGGTTCAGGGACACGAGCGACTCGGAAGCTGGGAAATGGGTCAGCGGAGAAAGGAGATTGAGGATATCGCATCTCCAACTCATGACGGCGCACCCCATGTCTCGCCATTTGATGAGGAGAATGAAGAGGAATGGAGGATTCACAGTGGGATGCAGCCGGTTAAAGTGCGGGAAAGCGTGTAGAAGTAGCCGTTATGGCAGGCAGTGGTTGATTGATGTGTTTGTTCTTGGATACCAAAAGTTGAGTTAGAGTAGTAGTAGTAGTAGTTAGAATGTTAATGTGAATGTGAATGTTAATGTGGATGTTAATGTGAACTTTCTCTCCTTCCCTCGCTCTTTCTTGCTTTCTTTCTTCCTTTCTTTATGTGTGATGCTTGTGCTTGTACTAGTAGTACTAGTAGTACTTGATCTTTTGTGCTTCACCTCGTGCCTTCCCTTGAGGGCCTCAACTTCGACCAACTAACTCCTACGAGTCTCCCCCCTTCAGCCCATCTTCATGTATGTCTCATCATCACCCCGATCAAGATGAAGTACAGTATCCCCACACTCATGGCGCTATACCAGGAGACAGAAGTTGCCTGTAACTGGACCGGTCACGTCAAAGATTGTCAGTACCTCCTCCCCATCATCGAGTTGGCAACATTCTGCAAGCCTGGGCACAGGCATCCTCCACACAATGTCTGACTATTCTCGCAGGTAAACTACTACGTCCCGGGCATCCTCGAAGGCCAGAAACCCGAGTGATTCCTCGCAAAAAGCGCACCTCGAAGACCTCTGCAGGACCACATCTTGCTCAATCATTGGGACATACACCTAAGTCGCATACGCCAAAGCTGCATACTCCTAAGCCGCATAATCGATCGACAACCAACAAAAAAAGGTTATCGCCGAAGCCGTTGACGACAACTGATGCAGGGTTTGCTCGCTTTCTCAAAGAACATTCTTCTCCAAAACATCAGCGTGTGACTGCTGGAGGCCGTATCGTTCCCATGATTATCGGAGACGATTCAATCCAAGGGGAGAAGAATTTTGAAGAATGGAAGCCGCCTCAAGCCAAACATAACACGGATTACCAAAGTTCGCCCACGAAGATAATCAACAGCAATTATCCCCAAGGCAGTGCCGCCGTGGTACACAGTCCAGCCTCATTCGTACTTGATCCAGGACAAAATGACAGCGTCTTCCACCAAATCCCAATCACCACAGCTCAGGCCTCGGTCATTATCCCAATGCCTGTTCAATCATTTCTGCCCTCCGTCTTTCCTCAGCAGTCAATGAGTGTCTACCAAGGGACCAACGCATCCCAACAACTGGACAAGAACTACTTTCCACCTTTAAATATGAATTCTGATATCGATTACCACCCCGCCGGCATCTTCAGGTCGAAGCTGGAACATGTACAAAATATCGTTAATGGAGTCGAGGATGCAAATTTCATTGACTTCAAGGCCGATCTTCGCCTCATACTCGACCTGGTGGGAAGACCGATGGACTCTCTTCAAGTTGAATATCTGATATACCTTCATAAGCAGTTGGAAGTGGCCTTGGGTGCTGCGAGTAGGCACCTTCAGTCGGTGGATGCCGAGATTGCAATGTGTCCGGCAAGCAGTCCATCACACGTTGGGCTGCGAATCAAATGGAAGCGGGTCAGAGCAGAGGTCTTTGACAGACTGGAGGAGATCAAATTACGCCTAGGTGAGGCGCTCGATCAATTCAACGGAATCCAGAGCATTACGGGTTCCATAATCCAGACCTTGTGCCCAGGGGATCTCTCACTCGAACCACTGGTGATATCTTCGGTTCCAGATACACCCTATCAATCCATGCCCCAGACCGAGGAATTCCAGGTCGATAATACACTACAGGAAGGCATCATCAATCAAGACTGCGAACCGATGAAAAAGAATCCTCCCAGTTCCCCCGATTTTGAGTTTGCTTTCGATCCCCAGTTACCTGAGCATAGTGAGGCTATAGAGCATCCTAGGCCTCAACGAGCTGGTCGCTTTGATGATATGGGATCTGATCTGTACGGCGATGGAGATACCGATAGAAGCGATGCAAGCTCGGAGGTTTTGTACAGTGGAGATGAGCAAAACAGCGAGTCTAGCAGTGACAGCAACGGTCCTGCCCACAGTGCGAGTAATTCGTCCGTTATTCTCCAGGATCCAGCCGGTGAAGATGACACTGCCTCCCTCTCCGAGCCGGCCTGCTCTGAGGTTTCACAGTATGGTGCCGGGGTGACAGACGCTCTTCATGAGTGCCGGCCTTCTGGGCAAACCGATGGCGTTGCGGACATTCGTATACCTCGTTATCTCCCACGAAACCTGCGACGTCGTGATAGTCACACCCTTCCGCGCAATTTTCCCCGTCGATTCAGTAGTACCAGCCCCCTTGCAGCCGAACGACGCCCGCGTTCACGATACTTCCCCTGGAATTGGCGGACAAGTATGGGCTCCGGATCAGGATCAGATTCAGTCTCCAGTATCGACCACGAGTATGACGAGGGCTCGCAACCTGAAGATTGTGTGAGTGATATGAAGCCGATCATCGGCAGACGATACGGATATTCGGAAGATGGGCCTGCTGCTTTGGCCAGCCAGCCAGGAGGTTTTGATCTCTCCAGTGATTACGGATCAAATCAAAGGTGAGATACAACATCATCATACGGAGTACTGAGCGAGGAATTTAAAATGGCTAATACCAGTTCAAACTTTAGTAATCCACCCACGCAAGATGACGACTACGATGCCGATATTGATCTAACACAAGACTCGCCCCGTCAAGCCATCCGTGCAGCTCACCAAAACGAACAAACTAAGGCCATCCGCGCCGAGTTTCGTGCGATGCAGGGGATTGGTCAATATGGATTGCCTATTGGGCGCCCCACGGTCGAAACATTTGCGACTACCGCCGTCGGACTCCCCGGACGATTCCAATATGAGTCTGGTTGGATGGCTTTGGCTCTCAAGAAGCTCTTCCCATAAAGGAGAGGGCAGCCTATACTCCATATGTGTACCTGATATCTGGGGATGTGGAGGAGGATGGAGAACCAATGAATCCCCCACTCTTCGGTGAATCCCATGGTCTGGACCACGCATTCGCCTTTCATCACGTGGTGGGGAGGTTTTCCAAGGCTTCCAAGAATTGATTGGTAGCTGAAGTCAGAGTCGCCACCGGAGTTTTGCTTCATCCTTCGTTTGTACCACAGTGTAGTGTTTTGCGGTTTCCCTTAGAGGATACTGGTTCGGCGCTTGTTGTAGAATCCTAACCCAGTCCCTCGTTATTTGCCCCCCGAAAAAAAAAGCCACTCTTAATTCTTATTTCCTGTTCCTCTTTTTTTTAGTGATCATGTTTGCCGCTCCAATAAGAAGAAACAGTAGAAGAATCTCCCAGTGTCAACCCTGCATTGCGATCGGGGCCCCCTGACTAATCGGGAACTCCGCGTCTCCACTCCAACTTCCAACTCCCCTTCCCTCTTTCGCCTTCTCCAATCTACCCTACTTCTACTCCTACACTGCCTTTCTTTTTTCTGTTGGATTCCTACCATGCAGTCTCATTCATGAGAACTGCTGTCCGTGGTCCTTATATTTCCGTTCTTTAGGGTGGCCCTCGTTTTCAACGACTTGGCCTGTTAACCTTCGTCCCCCCGCGGTTGTATCCTCATCCCGGCTCTCGCACCATCCCTCCCCGCCTTTTCCCTTCCTTTCGCGCAACTTTCCTTTGAGACCAATCTTTGATCTCTGGGGGACTGCCTATCGATTTCCGGCCCTGGCTACTTCCCTCTGACACCCGCAATGACACAGCTTTTCGCATCCAACCCGTCAACAATGACGAACGAAAAGCGCGGCAATTTCACCGGCCTCTCCCTGCCGACCCGAAAACACTCCAACGAATCAGGCCACTTGCCCACCAAGATCAAGAACTTTTTCCGGATCAATAGCTCAAGCAGTCATTCCTCCCATGGCGGCAGTCCCGCCAGCACCGACCGTGAACGCGAGAAGGAGTCACCGAAGAATGACAAATCCACATTCAGACAATCGCGATTCCTCCCTAATATCGGTCGTAACCGTTCCGCTACCGTCGCCAGTGAGGGCAACCCTCTAGATGATGGTGTCTCGCCCACGGCTACCGCGAATCCCTACTTTGCCCATCAAGGCCAGCCCGCATTACGGCATAGGAATGACGGCTCTCCTCCCTCTTCGCCTCCCGATACCCCCGAGTTGCAGGTCACCGGGGTCTCCGCAGTGGAACAGGCAACAACTGCCAACAAGGAGGAACTAGCACGCAAACTCCGTCGTGTCGCATCTGCCCCCAACGCCCAAGGTCTTTTTAATAGCCAAGGTGATGGACGTCCCCAGACAGCCGAGATGGGCAAGGAGCCTCTTGTGGAAATCCCTGGTGGTGACGGCAAGGTTGGTCTGTCTGATGGCAAGGGAGGAGTCCTGGCTGTGCCTCCGATAGGCATTGACAGCAAGATCACTGGCTCTGGTACCGAAGATGCTCCCTTCCGTCGCACCTACAGCTCGAACTCTATCAAGATCCGCAATGTCGAGGTTGGCCCCGCAAGTTTTGATAAGATCAAATTGATTGGAAAGGGCGACGTTGGCAAAGTTTATCTGGTTCGCGAGAAGAAGACAAGCCGCCTCTATGCCATGAAGGGTGAGTTTGATTCCTAATTTTGCTATACCACTACGGCATGAATACTGACCCTTCTCTAGTACTAAGCAAGAAGGAGATGATCAAGCGCAACAAGATCAAGCGCGCTCTTGCCGAGCAAGAAATTCTGGCGACAAGTAATCATCCATTTATTGTCACCCTATATCACTCCTTCCAGTCTGAGGACTACTTGTATCTCTGCATGGAGTACTGCAGTGGTGGCGAGTTCTTCCGAAGTATGTTTTCTATCCTCCGCTATTCTTGGAATCTCTTTATTCTAACCATGGCGTCAATCCAGCCCTTCAAACTCGCCCTGGGAAATGCATTTCTGAAGATGCTGCCAGATTCTATGCGGCCGAAGTTATTGCTGCTTTGGAGTACCTCCACCTCATGGGTTTCATCTACAGAGATCTCAAGCCAGAAAGTACGTGGTCTTGGTGGAATTAGTAGTTCTAAATCTTGAGGCTTGACATACTAACATTTGCTCCACTAGATATCCTCCTCCATCAATCCGGTCACATCATGCTTTCGGATTTCGATCTGTCTAAACAGTCAGGGCCCGGAGGTGCCCCTACTATGATTCCTGGCCGAAGTGGTGGCAACTCCTCCGCTTCCCTGCCAACCATTGATACCAAGTCTTGCATTGCTGATTTCCGAACGAATTCTTTTGTTGGAACCGAGGAGTATATCGCACCCGAGGTCATCAAGGGCTGCGGTCACACTAGCGCAGTTGATTGGTGGACTCTGGGTATCCTTGTCTATGAGATGTTGTACGGCACCACTCCCTTCAAGGGCAAGAACCGAAACGCAACCTTCGCCAGCATCTTGCGGGACGAGGTGGGCTTCCCTGAGGGCTCGGGTGCGCAACAGACCTCCACGCTTTGCAAGTCTTTGATCCGCAAGCTGCTGATCAAGGACGAGACCAAGCGCCTTGGAGCTCGTGCCGGTGCATCTGATGTCAAGACACATCCCTTCTTCCGGTCGACCCAGTGGGCTCTTATTCGCCATATGAAGCCACCCATGATCCCGCACCAGGGCCGTGCCGGTACGGACACGGTGAACTTCCGCAATGTCAAGGAGAGCGCCAGTGTTGATATTGGCGGCACTAACACTGCCAAAATGGAGGGTGTCCCTATGGACTCTGGCCTTGCAACCCCCAATGGCGAATTGAATGATCCTTTTGAGGAGTTCAACAGCGTTACGCTTCACCACGAGGGAGATCACTAAGCACAAGCACCATATTTTTCGCATTTGACGCCCACTTTGTATTTTTCTTTTCTTTTCGTCTCCCGATACTATAAAGGGAGGGCGGCCGCCTGGGCATCGGCTTGCTGACGACTATGATGCATTGACGACTGCATTTAAACTGTTACATTCCATTGCAACTTTCCGCGGATGTTTTATGGAATCGATTTACGTACGCTTCCTGCTACTCCTTGCCCTTTGTTTTGGTCATCTCGCATCTGCGTCTTTTTTGCATTCCCTTGATTACCCAAGACCTTGGTCAACTTTCGGATATCCTTCTGCGACCTCATTCTTCCCGCTCCTTCTGTTCACGATTCCATGTTGTTCGTTCGTGTTTTTTTTCCCTCGTCTGCTGGAAGCTGCGTTATACATCTTTTTTCCCCTCTTAGCAGCGGTCGGCGTTTTACTGGTCTTTTTATTTTTCTCTTCCTGGTACTCGTGACACTCGTCCAGTTTCGTTGATCTTCTTGTTGCCTTCTCTGCGATTGCCTCACTGCCTTGTCGATTTCTGGCGCGGTACTCTCTATCAACAAAGCTCGGTTCAATTTCTGCGTGTTCTCAAATTGGTTTGTTCTGGATGTGTTGACACCTTGTTTTATCTCGAGGGTTAATGTCAACTAAAAATATAACAGAGTAATATGGTTGAGAGTTCTATATTTACCTAGTCTTCCTCATTTGTAGATACAGTTTCCCTGGTTAGTACTAGTAGTTGCGTAGTAGATATCATGAATATTTTTGATCATGATACTACGTACTAGGTACACAACCAAAACCAAATCGCGGCCCGATGACCTAGCGGATCCCGATCATCAACAAACTCCCCGCGCACTCCGCCCTCCACTTCCCCTCCATCGCATTGACGACGAACGACAAACTCAACCCTTCCACATAATGTCCGCATTCGCCCAATCGGAAGATTCCGATGGTCAAGACTTCTCCTATATCTCCCCCGACCCGGCGACCACAACCCCTCCCATCCCACCAGAGCAGTCAACAAGCTCCGACGCAGAAGCTTCCCACGGCCGCAACCGCTCAAACAACCCGCTGCTGGGCAATAACCATGGCCTCGTCTCGGAGCTAGAACAAGAAGTTCTGGATGAATACTCCCGCCTCCTGCGGAATGTGAATCAGGTACGCCGAACATCCAGGGATCGACGCGTCGAGTCCCAGTCCCAGCCCACAGTGCAAATCAATCCTCAGCCAACCCAACCTCGCGGAGCTAGATAGCTCCCTGGTCTGGCTAGATGCTAAACCCTGATTGAACGTGAACTAACATTCCCATTCCACGTCGTCTAGCTCTCCGAGAAAGTTGCCGATCTCGCCGGCAACCCGGCTACCATGACTCTTGACGGAATGCGGCTTCTTGAACGCAAGACGGCGACAGTGTGCACTTTGCTCAAGGCTAGCGTCTACAGTATTGTCCTGCAACAACAGATCTGGAATGAGAGTGAGGAGCAACAGCAACAGCAGGACGGACAGGATCAGCACTTCCAGGACCAGACCTATCAGCATGGAGGTTATGAAGGCGATGGAGATGTTACCTACCAGTGATGCCTCTGTACTGTACTCTGCTCAGTCCCGAAGAGCTAGATGGGGATGTTTGATTTTTGTGAAAATATGCCGCCTGGATATCATAGGCTGGATTTTGATTGCGTATACCCTGGACTACTATCATTTGTGGAATCGGCGCGTTACTTGGATATTGTGGGTGTTGTTACGAGAAACACAAAGTGCGAACTTGAAGGAAGAAAGAAGAAAAAAAGGCTAGATAACTTGTCAATATCGAGTCCAATTGGACATGTTAATGAATTCAACGAAGAGTCAGGCGATTTTCCATTGACGAATTTGAATTCCTTTTGAACATATGACCTAACAAGTTACAAATACATGCAAAAGACAAGGAGAAGAGAAATAGAAGAACATTATATACACGCCGAGAAACAATGCACGACCTGACCGCTCGTCAGAACGCAATGCCTAGCCTAGACCTTGCCCGCGTAGTACACCTTGCGCACATCGACAATCTTCTTGCCGCGGGCCCGGGCAACTTCCTCCGGGTCGCGCTGGCTCATAAGAGCCTCGTAGGCGGCCTTGACTGTGTTCATCTTATTCCGGGATCGGTTGACTCTCGCAGCGAGGTCGTGGATACCGGCAGCGCGGCACATTTCGTAAATCAGATGCTGGGTGCGGAGACCGAAGCCTGGAAGAGCATGTTAGTATATAATTGGGAATAACGAGATGTGATTTGACATACCAGGAGGACGGTGCATCAACTGCAGCTCCACAGCTCCCACCTTTCCGGTGACATCGCCGAAGATGGTACGGTTCTCGTAACGAGGACAGGCTGCATGTTGCGGATGGCACGGTATTGCGACTGGATCTTGGCATCGGCTGCCTCCTCAGACTTACCCTCGCCAATACCCAACAAACCATTTCCGTTACCAGCGACAGACAGGCGGTAGGCACGACGGACCTTACCCAGACGGGTTTGGTTAACGACACTGTGGGAAACCAAAGTCTTGGTGCGGAGTTCTCGCACTTGACGCTCAGTGTAGCCGGTAGCCAGAAGGAGACTCTTCAGGGCATCAGTCAGTTCCTCTGCCTCGAGCGAGCGCTCCTTCTCACCCTTCTCCGCAGCGGACTTGCGCTCCTCCACACGAGGCTCGTCAATGGTCTGGCCGGGGCCAAAGAGATCAGGCACGAGAGCACTGTGCGGGTTCAGCTCGTTCTCCTCCTTGCCTTCCGTCAATCGCAGGGACTCGGCGAATCGCACAAAGTCGGCTGGCTTAATATCTTCATTTGATTCCGCGAAGAAACGACCAAAGTCCTCGATGAATTGGTCCTCGGACTTCAGCTTAAAGTTGTAATCCGAGTTCGACTCGGGGGCGCGAACATTGCGGTCGATACCCGGCTCAATCACGGAAAAATCGTCGAGATACTTGAATCGATAGGGGTCGGTACGGCGAATGGACTGCTCGGACAAATCCTTGGGGTCGATAGAGGCCTCGCCGGCCTTGATGGCTTCCATTTGGGCGGCCGAGTACTCCTTTGCCAGGTGGGCCTTCTCCTCCTCCGTGTAAGACTTGAAGTCATCGGCCTTCAATGCTGACCGGGTAGAGTTCTCGGGACTCTTGACATTGGGGAACTTGGGTTTCCGATTCGTCAATGGCGCTGGGGTTGGGTGGAATTGGCGACGAGGGACTCGCGTGCCGGGAGTCGCAGTTCGGGAGAGGCTGCAAAACAGACATCTTGCGGGCCGGGCAAGACTCATGATTAAAGAAGAGTGAAAGGCTCGTCGGCCAGCAGCACGCCAGCCACAAGCTCTAAAACACAAAAAAACGAGAGGGAGAGATAGCGGAGGACTAATTGCAATTGCAACAGGCAAATCAACCCGGCGGAAGTGCAGCCAGCGGGAGGAATTTCTTGCTCGCGGGCGGTGAGTGTCGGCCCAATCAACGACGCGGGAGATCCGTTGCTAAGCCCAAGTTAATTTTATGGAAATCGCCGCTTTTCTTTTTTGCGCTCCTCTATTGCACATGTTGGCTGTTCGCTTGTCTTTCTGGCGGTTGCCTTCTCTCGGTTCTCAGGCACTACGTTCAGCTATTCGAATCCAGCAAAACTCGACTATCGCCTACAATTATCCCCCGAAACGATCTCCTCCACCACACCACCCGCCTAAGATGAATAACCAAAGGAAATTGATCGATAGAAAGCGCAAGAAGGCCAGAGTCGAGAAGAGCAAGAGCGGTGGTCATGACGAAGTTCTTCTGGCGGATGTGAACAAGCTTCTCCGCTCTAAGTCCGCCGACGAAGAGACCAATGGTGAGAAGCCTGCGCCTACGCTCCCCGAAAAATTCACCGAAATCGATGTGACAATCTCCATGCTTTCTTCGACCGGTGATGGTCTTGCCTACGATGAAGATCTGAACCATGTATTTGTGGTCCCCTTCACGGTCCCTGGCGACAAGGCACGCGTAAAGGTGGTGCGCCATGAGTGGGAATACAATTATAGTATGACCGATTTCCTCAGTGTGATCGAGGCCGGCCCAACAAGAGACGACTCCCTGATTAAATGCGGTTACTTCAGCCAATGCTCCGGTTGTCAATTGCAAATGATGTCTTATGAGGACCAGCTCGCGCACAAGCGACGTATCGTCGAGAAAGCCTACGCCAATTTCTCGGGCTTGGTTCCCCACCTGGTTCCTGCCATTGAGGAAACATTCCCATCTCCTCTGCAATTCGGATACCGCACGAAGCTTACGCCTCATTTCGCGCAACCCAGCAAGCCGAAGACAGACGAGGCTGGAAACCAACTGCCGAGAGAGGTCCCGGCTATTGGATTTACGTACAAGAACCGGAAAATGGATATGGATATCGAAGACTGCCCGCTGGGAACCGACATTGTTCGACGCGGTCTCAAGAGCGAGAGAAAGCGCGTGGCCGAAAATATTGCTTCTTACAGGAAGGGCGCCACTCTCTTGATGCGTGAAAATACTACTCGCATCGCCAAGGATACCCCAGACGCCAAATCAAAAGTCAAATATATTCCCGGGCTGGCCCCGATCAAGGGTTCCGATTCTGGTGATTTAATCAAAATTGAAGAAGAGGACTACACCGTGGAGAAGCGCTGTGTTACTGATAACAACGCCACCTCTGTGGAGTATATCGACGACTATATTTTCAGCAACAAGGCTGGCGGCTTCTTCCAGAATAACAACTCTATTCTCTCCGGATTTACCGAGTACATTCGATCAAAGGCCTTCCCTCCCGGTAATGACCAGGCCGCCCAGCCCATCAAGTACCTCTTGGATGCGTACTCGGGTTCGGGTCTCTTTACCATCACTTTGTCTCCTCTCTTCAAGTCCAGTCTAGGTGTTGATGTCGCCGGTGATTCTATCGTCTGCGCTCGCGACAACGCCCGCGCCAATAATCTCCCTAATACCGGTTTCGCTGCAGCCGATGCAGCCGTTCTTTTCAAGGACGTTCCCTACCCGGCTGATCAGACATTGCTTGTCATTGACCCCCCCTCGCAAGGGTTGCTCCGAGGACTTCCTCCAACAGCTTCTGGACTATGGTCCTCGTCGCGTTGTGTATGTCAGCTGCAACGTTCACACCCAGGCTCGCGATGTTGCGGTCATGGTACAGGGTGATGAGAAGCGGAACATTCGGTATGAGATTGAAAGCATTCGTGGCTTTGATTTCTTCCCTCAAACTGGACATGTTGAGGGCGTTGCTATTCTCAACCGGGCTACCTTCCCCGCGAAGTCTGAGTAAAGCTAGTTGGGTTCGGACCTTTTTTTTCAAACTTCAATTTCTACCTTGATCTTCTTGTATAATGTACTATTCTGGCTTGGATTGGATTGGATTTTTGCATTCCATTGGCGTTATATTCTACAGGCAAATACGGGAACCAAAAAAAGAAGGGCAGCAGATACCACGAGATGAAGGAGAATTTTCGCATTTTCAATACGCTTCTGAACGATAATAAAAACAAGGCTGGGGACTTAGTATCTCCCTCTATCTACTCGGGAACCAGATTGGATGTAGCATACTAAGACCACAGCGCTGAGCCGCCCGCTTTGAATAATAAAAAAAGGGAAAGGGGCAAGAAGGAACAGCGTCACAAGTGGTAAAAAAGAGAGAGATGAAATAACAGACTATGAACAAAAAGCGTCCAGCGACACCAGGCTGATAAAAAAGACGATGATAAGAGGGAAATTTGGCTTTTAAGAGCTTCCCGGTCCGCCAAGCAGCGCGAATCTCCGCACGATACTGGGACCAATCTCATCATATTCGGCCTTGGTGTGGCAGTAGCTTCGGAACTCAGGCGTCTGACCCAGCAGGCTGCCGCCGAACCAGGGTCCGTGCCGCTGGCGCTTGTGCGTGACGACCGCGACATCCAGACCACCACTTCGGGCGCCGCCGCTGCGGGCCTCAGAGGCGCGGATCCGGTCGTCTACCAGATGACGGATATCACGCTGTAGACGACGGCCAAAGTCCTTATACAAGGTGGAACCACCGGACAAAACAATGTTCTTATAAAGGCCGCGACGGACATCAATAGGCGAGGATTGAATGACACCGTCAACGACGTTGGGGAGTGGGGTGAGGAAGTCGGACGAGTAGATTTCGGGGTTGAAGAAAATCTCCGGGGCGAGGAAGCGCTCGTAGCCAATGTCGATTTGCACACTACGTCCGTTGGGCGCGCTGACAGTGTGCTTCAGGAGACGATCGGGCTCGCGATCGTAGCGGGCGAATTCCTTGACGATATCGGGACTCACGTAGCAGTACTCCTCCTTGACCTTCTCGGCGGTCTTCAAGCTGCTGTCCGGCTCACCGCGGTCTCGCAGCAAACTTTGCACAAAGTATGTGATGTCTCGGCCAGCGATGGGAATGCTCTTGATGGAAGATCCAATGACGTAGCCCTCAGCTACGGGGATAACGTGGGTGACACCGTCACCGGAGTCAATGACAGTTCCGGTGAGGGATCGGTCAGTCACTTTGGATGAGGTCCAGGACGCGGCAAGGGCGAGCACGGCTTGAACGGCAATATAGAGACCAGCGCAGTTGAACGATTCGAACATGATCTCGGCGGTGTTTTCACGGTTCTCGGGGGGGTTCAGTGGCTAACGTCAGGCTCCAATATTAGTCTTTCCAGGCTCCTAAGTGGCATGCTTGCGGGGGGGTGGGGGAGTGAAGATGTATGGCTTCCTTACGGGTTCGGTGAGGAGGAAGTAGTGGTCTTCGGGCTCGACACGGAGGTACTTGAAAATCGAATTCGACCAGAATCGTTCCATGTGGTCCCAGTTCTCGATCTGGCCGTGTCGGATGGGGTAGTTGACACCATAACCGGGGCCATTTCCAGCAGCCAGAGCCTCATCGCCAATGAAGAAATCCAGGTCCTCAGTGCCGCGCTTCATAGAAAGGTGCGAGCTGGCGCCGCCACCACCGGACAAGAAAGAAGGCTTGTTTGCGACAGAAGGCCGGGCGGCGGAGCTACCAGCGCTACCAGCACCAGCCTTGGTTGCAATGGCTGTTGGAAAGACGAAGGAGGGAGAATCGTTACCGGCGAATCCTATATTCAAAGTAAACACAACTAGTCAGTCCAATGCTCCAGTAAGGAATTGCGATCTTAATGCCACCATTCCAGGCATCTAGTACCTACCGAGCTTGGAGTAACCAGTACCGCTGGAGTGTTCGTGTCAGCACGAGATCAATTCGGGAGAGGGAGAGGTAAGAACATACTTGTCCATGACAACGGCTGGTGTTTGGGAGGCCATGGCGGAGAGGGATTCTGCAGACCAATCCGAACACAAAGGAGATTGCAGGTCCGCTGTAGAAGGGGGGGGGTGGGATATGAAGTCAACCGTGGCGGAGCTTCAGGCAGAGGCGGGGAGGAACGTGGATGACTAAGAATGCCCACGTCATGTGCCTGGAACAATGGACGGGGACTCTTCATTTTTTGATTTGACCATATTATAAGGTGCATTTTAATATATCATCCAATTGGAATGATAACTGGCGATCTCAACCATCAAAGTTGATTTTAAGGAGAATTGCCGGTAGGATCTTCCACTTACTGTACAGGAAGGCCCCTAGAGAAGCCTTTGCCAAAGATAGATACGAAGGAAATAATACCTAAGGTTGGTATAATACCAGTACTAGACTACTAGTGCTGTTGAAAGGAAAGAGCGATCCGCGACGATGCTGAGGAAAGAAGGAGTGTCATTGATCTGATGCTACGAGTATGCTATGCGATGCTTCAGAACATACGGTCACACCTCTTTCTCTTCTATCTTCTTTCTTCTCTCTTCTCTCTTCTCTCTTCTCTCTTCTCTCTCCTCTCTCCTCTCTCCTCTCTATTCAACACTTACCCCACGCCTAGTCTAGGCAGCCTATCCTTTACCAAGTATTCCTTATGAGCAGTATACTGCATATCCTGAAGACCTTATTCTTATACGGTCCCCTTCGCTCTCTTTGATCGCTCGCTCAAACCTCGCTTCGCGCGTCCAGGTCAGGGTTAAACACCGGTTCCTTCACTCAAAGACACACTGGAAACCCACCCGAGAACATAATCGCCTTCACACGTCAGATCAGACCTGCCAATGAGTCTCTACTGAATTGCCGCTGGTGACCAACTGACAGCTTTGGTCGGCACCCTGGAAAACGGGGCAACGATCAAGTACTGGAATCGCGAGCTTATCAATCAATATGACCGATCCAAACCAGCCACAGGGAATGGAAGATATGTGTGCGATATTCGTCCACGCTGGCGCTGGGTTCCATTCTTTCGAAAACCAGGGGAAACATCTCCTCGCCTGCAAGCAGTAAGTTATCAATCACTCTTAGCAAGTCAAATGCTAACCCTACAACGCTACAGTGCTGTTAGAGCCGGCATGGTCTTCTTGCGAAATGGCGCAACTGCCGTCGATGCCGTCGAAATGGCCATCGCCTCCCTTGAGGACGCTCCAATCACGAATTGTGGCTATGGTAGCAATCTCAATGCCGAAGGACTTGTCGAGGCTGATGCTTCAATCGTTGATCATTTTGGGCGCAGTGGTGCTGTTGGAGCTGTACCCAGTAAGAAGAACCCTGGTGACTCTCGGATGAGCAACCGAAGCTAATGTCTACCTTGTACTTAGACGTCAAGAATCCTATCATGGCTGCCCGAAAGATCTATGACCAGTCATATAAGCTCCCAGGAATGGCCCGGGTCCCGCCCAATCTCCTCGTGGGAGAAGGAGCCGCCGATTTTGCCTGGAATAACGGCGTCGTGCTCGTTACAAACGATGCCTTGATTACCCCCTCAACACAAGAGCGCTGGCAAACCTGGAGGCAAGAGATATCTGATTGGGAGGCTACGCATCCGGAAAGCAATTCTAAAGGAGACGAGAACCCTTGGATACGCCACTGTGTTGATCCCTTACAAAATCACATCGCACGTACTTTTGGGAACGTCGATGACCAAGCCAAGGTTCGCGCCGAGCTTTCCTCCATGCATGAAGCCGTTGAGACCTCTGAGATGGATATGGATGCTGCGAGTAGTTCTACTGCAAGCCCTCGACCACGAAACGGCAAGCCACGCCAACACACCTCGGAGGCTGTCCCTACGAAAGAAGAACCACAGAACGGGAACAACCAGAAACCCGGTTCCACCCAAGAATCCAAATTCTCGAGAGATGCCATTGGAGGTGATTCGATTACAGACACCGTTGGGGCGATTGCGGTTGATCGATACGGAAATATTGCGGCAGGTTCCTCATCGGGGGGCATCGGCATGAAGCATCGTGGCAGGGTCGGTCCTGCGGCATTGATTGGAATCGGGACTCATGTCATTCCCGTTGATCCTGCTGATCCAGATCAAACGTGTGTTGCCTCGGTTACTTCGGGCACGGGTGAGCATATTGCATCGACTTTGGCAGCCAGTGTCAGCGCATACCGGATCTACTTCTGCCAAAAGGTTATTGGCAATGGTGTGTCCGAACAAGTTACCGAAGAGGAGGCGTTAGAAGCAATGATTGTCAACGAATTTAGCGGTATTTTACCCTTTCTTTTGGCCGAATTTGGTGGAATCTAACAGTGTTTTAGGTCATCCTGCCCTGCAGAACAATGCGATAAGAGGCTCGATTGGTATTATGACGGTCAAAAAGACAAAGGATGGAATCGCACTGTACTTTGCTCACAACACCGACTCTTTCGTAAGTTTTTGTTACATTCATGATGAAGGATCCCCATGCTAACACTGATCTGATTGTAGGCTGTGGCTTCTATGTCAAGTAACGACAAACTACCTAGCGCTGTAATGTCGCGCAAGACAAAACGAGACTCTAAAGTTGCGAATGGTGGTATGATGATGCGACCTCGTCAGTATATTCGAGCATCGTAAGCTCATCCCGTGTTTTGTCTCGATCGGCCGGTTATAAATCTAACATATACAGGAGAACCTCAAAATCGCCGACGGAGAAAAAAGCGAGAAAGAAAAAGCGCCACTCAAGCGAAAGCCCTTAAAAGACGCATAGCTTCTTGCTTCTAAAAGCGAGTTTAGAAAAGAACCCTGTTGGTGGTTGGTTCTTCCATCTATTCCAACGGTTCGTCTTGACAAGTTTCGAGCCCCCGATCAATTTTCCGCGGGTTACTTTTTGCACAGCGACTGGGCTCTCTTTTTGTCTTTTTGGTTCACCATGCTCTCACATGTCTCTGGTTTGATATTGGTTTTCAAAGCACAAGCAGCAACAGTCGGCTGAAGTCAATATTCCGCGGTGTCGGATGGCCAA